CCCCCCCCCCCCCCCAAATTGGTCTTGTTATAATTTTTTTAATTAACATTTTTTTATTTTCTACTCTAACTGAAAGTATAGGTACTTCGTAATGAAAATTAGCTCACATTTAAAAAAAAATATTGTCAAAATGTTACCAGTTACAAATATTAAGAAAATTTGGTAAAATCAGTCTGTGAAGAGTCTGAGTATTTTTTTTTTTCTGACTGTTTATGGCCACCCTAATTTATTAAATTATAATTGTGTATTATTAAATTTATCATAATATTGTTAAGTCATAATGTTATTCATTCGTAATAATTTCTATTTATTTTTAATTAATATGAATTTAAGTAAATTCTACTAGCAAAGGTGGCATAAATTAAACTAATGTTTTAACTACTATTTTGATAAATTTAATTTTGAATGCAGAAAGCATCTTATTTTTTTAATTACTTTTTGCTACTAATAAAATTTTTGTGATTCATAACTTTGTTTAAATATTAATAAATTTTTGTTTAATTATTCTGTAACTCAGATTTTTTTATTTTATTTATTTATTTTTTTAAAGTGGCAACAAATTTAATTTCAGGCAAATTTAAAGCTAAAAACATAAGTTTAAAAAACAGTTGCAAATTTATTTTAAGTTCAACTGCTCCTTCATGCTGTTCTTAGGTTTTAGCTGTCTGCAAATATTTGTTTTATTTTAGTTTAAGTATTTAATTGCTGTTTATTTTTATTTCTCAACATGGTTTGTATTGAATCTGCACCTAAATTTAAATACAAATTAAATAGTGTATTAATAATCCATTGCAACAGTAGTTGCTAACTTGAGTTTTTAAAAAATGAAAAATTTGTTTTCCATAGTTTTTGTATTATATACAAGTATATATCAATGTTAATATGAATTTTTCATTCATATATACCTATTATCAGTAAAAATTTTTAAAAGAAATTGTTATGTTTAATATCTTAGTTGAATTCAGAATCAAACTCAACTAATTATAGAATTATTTTAAGGTATTGGAACTGGAAATGCTCCTATTCAACAATGTATTGATCAAGTTCAAAGGAAAATCAGAACTCTTTCATGGAAACAATGCAAACACTTGATAGTTGATGAAATTTCAATGGTAGATGGAGAATTTTTTCAAAAATTGGAAAAAATTGCAAGAGTAGTTAGGAATAACGACAAGCCATTTGGAGGTATTCAGCTTATACTTAGTGGTGATTTCTTACAACTTCCACCAGTATCTAAAAAAGGAGAAAACAAACTCTTCTGTTTTCAGGTGATTAGTTAAGAAAATATCTTTTCTTGAATTTTGAAAACTTGTTTTACCTAATTTAAAATTCTGAAATATTGCTTCTGTCATTTTCTTTTATTAAAAATTGATAAATTTAAAGAAGCCTCTCTTTTTTTTAAAGTTTGTAAAAATAAGATATTTGTTCTTTTAATTAAGTTTATTGTATATTATAGAGATCTTATACGTTTAATTTAGAAAATCCTCTGATTTTGTATTTAAAATAAAGCCTGTGAAACTAGTTTTTATGTGCTATGATTTTCGAGTGAAAATGTTATACATTTTCACTGAATGTTAACAATTTTATAGAATTTTTTTATATACATAATTTAATTTAGTTGAATTTTCTCTTAAATTTGCTTATTTTGTTGCATTACTTTTTTGAAAAATTCTATCCTAACTTTATTCATAATTTTGTAATAAATTTGAATAATTATTTTATGTCATCAAAATGTTGTTGTAACTAACACTAAAAATTTGATTATCTTCATTTCAATTCCTAGAGTTATCGAGCTAGAAAAAACATCCATTTCCTTATTTAAAACATTGCTTTTAAAATATTAATGCTTTTTCTATTTCAGAGTTCTGCTTGGGATAAATGTATTGATGTTAATATAGAACTTCATGCTGTTAAAAGACAGAGTGATCGAAATTTTATTCAAATATTGCAAGATGTAAGAAAAGGACGGTAAGTTCTAAAACTGTCAAACTAACAGAATCAAAAATTGTTGGTAAGAGCTAAAGAAAATATTAAATAATAATAATAAATAAAAATGTAAATAAATTTATGCAGTTTGTACAGTACCAATTATATACTGGAACTGATATCGTATTTTTGTCTGATTTTTAGCACTAATCTAACAAATATATTTTCCACATTTAAAAAAGGGAAGGGTTCAATTTTTAACTTACCTAGTTCTTGCACCAAACCCCTCAACTATGTTTTTTTCCCCCAATAAAATATACATTTGTTCATTAAATTTTTTTAAGGAGAGAAATGTTTTTTTTAACACATTTTCACTGTGAAAGTTATTCAGGAGTGATTTGATGTTTGTTCAAAGTAACAGTCATAAATATTGAGGTTAGACATAATTATCTTCATAGATATAAAGAGTGGAGAAATTTGGGGATCCATGCTATTATAAATACTGTAAATCACTGTCTTTAAGTTAACCTGTTATATAAGTCGACCACATATTCTTGTCACGTGTATAAGTGGATTGCTAAAAAATCCAAATTTGAAAATTTTTAAAATTGAAAAGCAAAGAACTATTAAGTATAAAAAAATTTTCTCAGTTTAAAAATATCTCTCATTGTTTCCCTCTGGATATGATACATTTGCCTACTGAATAAAAATACATAGAGTTATTGAATTCAATACAGATCATGTTCTGAAAACTTTAAAAATTTAAAAATGTGCAATGTATTATATTTTGTGAAATAAATTATCTGTTCCTGAATTTTCATAAGTTTGTGTCTTGATTCAAAAAATAATCAAGAGCAATTTGAATCAAGATTTTTTACAAGTCAGAATAGAGTTCATTATTTTCCTCTTTCTTCTATTTTAACATTAATAATGTTGTCTTGTGCATTAAACATTCGTTAGTCTTAAAAACCAATTCATTTTTTCAATTCATATTCAATCTGGCAATGAAAGTTTGTTGCTAACGAAGGTAAATACATTATTAAAATTAAATCTTGATAACATATAAAATGTAGCAAAACGACATTACATTCCAATCCCTCTAATATATATATATGTTCATGATGCACAAATATTTCTGACTTTATTACTGGTGTATAAATTGATCCTCTAGTAATATTTTGGGGACAGAGAACTTATACATTGTGATATAAACAGTCTATTGTTTTGGTTAAAATATTTAAAATAAATGGCAAAATGTGAGTTTTATTTTTTGAGAGTTTCAGTTGTATTTAAAGACTTAGACATGTGTTTAAGTGTGTAAGTTATGAAAGCTGAATAATGTTTAATAGCATTTCAATTTAAAAATAATAAAAAGAGAACAAATGGTTTAATAATATGAAATATTTTTTTATTTATTTATTTTTTGTAATATAATATTTCAAATACATTTTGTTGTAACAATACCAAGACTTTTAGAATAACATTCTTTAAGAACAGTTAGTTGTTATTTTCACTACGGAGGTCTATCTAGAAAGAAACTGGGTTTGTTAAAGATCAACTCATACAACCTAAACTTTTAATTGGACCCTTTAAAAGTATCAAACCATACAAAAAGGCCTTTCCACAAAAGTCTAATATTTTTAAATTAACCTTTCTAAAAGTTTTAGAAAACAATTCTTTCATAAAATAACCTTTTTTCTCCATCTAAAATAGTTATTCTTTGGAACAAATTCATTTATGCAAGTTCAAAATTTTATTTAATTGGTTTCCTTATTAATAAGCAATTTGTTAAATAATAATTGTATTTTCAGTCTGACTATGTTTCAATCTTTTAAAGTGTATGTCAATTCATGTCATTCTCTAAAGACCTTAGACATTTTTAAAATGGACATTTCTACATTTTTTTAATAATGAAAGACATTTTTTGTCTGTATTTATTTATTTATTTTAATTTAGGTCTAGTGCAGCACTTATTCAGAAATTGAAATCAACTTCGAATCAAAATATTGATAAGGATGGAATTTTGGCCACAAAACTGAGCACACATAAAGATGATGTTGATATCATTAATAAATCTCATCTTGAACAACTGACTGGTATACACTTGAAATTTAAATGAAATTTTGTTATTGATGTATTTTTATCTTTGTTTTAAAATTTATTTTCAAAAAAGTAATCTTGAATAATCTTTAAAAAATATTGCATTATATACGCAATTTACTTTTTTTTTATGTATGTATATGCAAAATATTTTTTTTCCAATTTATTACACAAAAAATCGAATTACAGCTAAAAACATCCTGGTTGCAGCATGACTTAACAGTAATGACTGTCAATGCAGAATGTCTTTTGAAAATGGGGTTCACACTTTAGATAGATGAATGTTTTTAAATGATTTTGTCATTCTCATTTCTGACAATATTACTAACAATCACAGGGTGCATCACATTTTTATAAGTCCTTAAAGTAAGGGTGCTTATTTTTGATGCCTGTTTTTTAAAAGCCCTTAAAGGTGTTTGTAAAATATGCTTAACTTTCTCTTTTCCGAAATGATACTTTTTTTTTTTGCTCTACCAAATATTCGAAATTCATTCAACCACTTTCTACTTTGGCATGCTGTGATCTGTATCATACAAAAGGGCAAATCATTTATGTTTTGGACGAATTAATTGTGGATTTTCTTACTCTGAGCTGGATTCTACGGGGAAAAATCTTACACTCAAGTGTGCAACTCTGATGCATTTTGCAAGAAATTCTCAAATTCAGGCTTTATTTCCCGCCCTTTGAAATCAAGCCGAAAATCTCGTGAAATTTTTCTGATTAAGGAGACCAACTTTTCCTTTACAGCCAATGAAAATATTATGTGTGTTTCTTATTTATTTATTAGCTAATGAAGCACCATCATCTTAGTCGCAGGGAAATCAAAGGCATTCTCATGTTTTCTTCTTTTTTTTTATACGTTAGCACCACAACTTGACATGAAAATCATTAGGCAGTAATTTATTAAGCACTAAGTATTTCCATGTGGATCCAGAGCTGTCAACAATTACAGAGCTTCGTCAATTCAAAATTTTTATCTTCCTTTTATTCTTTTTATTTGATGAACTAATCAATTTAGAGATTTTTTCATTGAGAGACAAAACACTAATTGTATAAAGTATTTAGATTTTTTAATGTTGTCTTATTTTCTTGATTTGTTTTTAAAGTATTCGTAGTTTTTGTGTTATTTTATGAAAAAAACAGGAACAAATAATTTTCAGAATCAAGATTTTTTGCAAGTCGAAATAGAGTTCATTATTTTCCTCTTTGCTCTATTTTAACATTAAGGTTATCTAATTGTAATTATGAATTAGAATAAGTTTTTCTTATGATGTAATTCTTTATTTAAGAAAGTTGCACATAAAAGGTTTTTTTATGGTGGCTAATAAAATCAAGATTAGATTTCTTTGCCAGAAATTAATGATCTTATCAATATTAAAAATGTTTCGTGTTTTAATAATTTTATTTATTTGTATATGAAGATCTTTAAACAATCGGAAAACATTCTTTATTAGCTAGAATAGCCTAAATGTTTTTAAAAAAAATGCTTGAAAATGTATTTTTAGAATGCTTAAAAGGTGCTTATTTTTTGTTGAAAAATTTAGCGACTCACCCTGAATCTTAAGGTAAATAATTTTCAGTATAGAGAAATACTAGTATAATTCACTAATATTTACTATTTTTCTTTACACAATTTCACGGTCAGAGAACTGGCCTTGCACCAGAAAGGTTCTGGGTTCGAATACCGGGCAAGGCATGGGTGTTCTTTCAATCTCTGTAATATCTGTCTTTACTGTGGGAGCATTGTTGGTCCACCTAATATGGTGCCCCTGAAAGAGTGGCCAACAAATCTGCCCTTTAGGTGCCTGTATGACCTACGTCATTCTCCAGGTGGTCATTGGGGGGGATGTACTTGTCTTAAATTAGCATGACAGTTTTTCACATTCTGAGTGTTTCGTTTTATCAAGATTTTATTGTGTGCTCAAAAATCAATAGCTCAAGGTTTTTCAACAGTTTTTAATGATTTTTTTTAACTTTTAAGCATTAAGCCTTCTAGACAAGTTTGCACATAATTTTCCCTTCAATGCATTTTGTTTATGACATTTTCAAACAAATCAATTTTTGTCACAGATAAGTAACCGAGTGTAATGACGAAAAAAGTTTGAGTAAAATATTCACAAGGACTATGGATTGTCATTAAAGACAGCTTTAACCTGGCAGTTTAATGCAGGCTAGTACTTTCCAAAAAAATTACTAATTTTTATTATTCATTGGTAATTTGTGACAAACCATACATTAAAATGTAATAATTTTTTTCTTCGAAATAGGTCAGTCTCAATTTTTCTTTGCTGTTGATAATGCTCCTGATCTTAGCCAATTCATAAATAATCATTGCCCTGTGGGAAACAAGTTAGAATTGAAAGTTGGAGCTCAAGTCATGCTTATGAAAAATCTTGATCTGCAGAGAGGGCTTGTGAATGGTGCTAGGGGTGTCGTTCTTGGATTTGATCCTAGCAAACAAAGTATGATTAACAGTCACTTTAAATGTTTCGTACAGCTCTGGTCAAAAAATTTCACTCTTTGTACTGCATTGAATTCATAACATTGTTTCAAATACTACCAAGAAGCGTTTTATTTTATTTAGTTCCCTACATATGTCTTTTACTTGTTATATTTTAAAGTTTTTAGTTTTATTCTAAGCGAACAGTTTAGTTTGGTAAACATCTCTTTCCTTTGCTTGATTATGTTTGTAAAGCCATATTTTATTATTCATTTTATTGTAATTACACTTTAATTTTATTAATTGCCAGTTTGGGTTGTTACTTGTCTGTCCTTTTTTAAGTAAATATTTTTTTAATCGCTAAGCTTATGTAACCATTTTAAAAATTTTCGTCTAATAGAACTTTGAGAATTACTTGAGAGGGTAAGGATGTTTTAGAGTTTCTAAAAGTTATAGTTTGGCATTACTTGTTCATTTAATATGTTCTATGATAGGAGTGCACTGCCTGCAGCCCTGCGGTTTTCTGAACTAAAGTTAATTGGAAAAGACTGCATGACTTGTTAGAAATGTTTTTCAACTGAATTTTAATTAACTATAATATATAATTATAATATAGAATTCTAAAATGTCAAAATATGTAGACTTTTTTTTATTAATTTAGTTATGGTCATGTTTTTGGTTTAAACTCTCTTTATTCTAAACATGTTAAAAAGAAATGGAATTTAAAAATTAAAGAAGTAATTAATATTCTCTAAAATAATAATAATGAAAAATAATTTTGCTCATTTTTACTGAGAAAATTTTGTGCCATCTTTGAACGTAATTTTATTTAAGATGACTCAGTTTTCTGTTAAGCATATTATTTGTATATTTAGAAATATTGTAATTTGCTGTAATTAATAGGTTTTCTTTTATTTAGTTATTTTTAAAACAAATTGTCAATGATTCTTCAACTCTTTAGATTATTTAAATTGTCATCAATTAATATGAAACAAAGTTCATTGCAGCATCTCAAAGCTAATTTTTTCTACCTGCAGCACTCTTCTAAAAAAGGTTGTGCATCTGAACAAAAAAAATATTGAAATATTAAAAAAAAACTTTTTAACTGCTTAGGAATATCATTTTCTTAATTATTTTTTTTATTTATGTGTTTTATATTATATATTATATAAAACTTTTAGTAATATACAGAGAAAACTATGTACGAAGCTTTGAAAACATTTATATTTTACAATTTCTCAAAAAGTAGAAATTTCTGAATATGTTACTAAAGTTTCCAACCCTTTACTGGTATAATCTAAAGTTTAGTTTTTTCATTTATTCCTTTTTCAAACTTTTTATAATGAAGTGTCATTTTATTTTAATTAAAATATCATTTATAATTTCATCTTAATTTTCCATCAAAATTAAAACCCTTTTTCTGTAATTAATAATTATTATAGAAAACCATGTGTCTTTTGGTTTTAGATAGTGAAATTATATGAATATTTTATTAAAATTTTTTTATAAAACTGCTCTAAACGTTAACAAATTCTTTCAAAGTAAACTGTTGAAGAAAAGACATTATTCAAATGTATGAAATATATTTGAATCTATCTGAGAAATTTATTTGTGTAACTAATTTTAATGTTATTAAAATTATTCTAGAGAAATTCTTTGTGTACTATTTTCAATATTTTTAACGCTGGCTGAGCAGAGATCTGTTATTTATATTTTCTGATATTGAATGAATTCAAATCATTAACCTATTTGTAAAAATTATTCAAACTCCATTGCAATTTAGCTCTCTCTTCATTTCCCACACCCTCATATTTGTTTTTATTATAATGAAGATGGCCTTTTTGCTATTTTATACTTATTTTTCTTTTTGGAGAGTAATATGTATTGTCTAATTACTGATAGTTATGAAAATTCTTAATGACTTAATAATACTTAATGACTACTTTATTTCAAAGCACATAGTTAATCATCTAAGTTTGTAATATTTTATGTATTTTATTAAAAATTGTATGCATTTTAAGAGTTTTTTTCTCTATTCAGAACTTCCTGTTGTAAAGTTTGCATGTGGTGCAAAAGAAGTAATCAACTATGAAAAATGGTCTTTCAGAGCTCATAGTGGAATGATGTTAGTTAGGAAAATGTTACCATTAAAACTAGCTTGGGCTATGTCTATTCACAAATCACAGGTAATTAATTTTGACTGTTTGAAGAACTTTTTCTCGACTTTAATTTTATAATTTATAAAAATAAGCATCATTTTAAATTGTAAGTATAATGATTGAAATTAATTATTTTGAACTACTAAAAACATTGTTTGACAGGGATCGTACGCACTGGGAATTGTCTGAAAAAACAATATTTAAAAAAAGTTAGGGAAAAACGTAATTTTAGCCCAAAACCAGGAAATGTCTGGGAATTTGACACCCATTGGGAAATTTCACTCTACCAGTTTAAAAAAGTCCACTTTTGTATATCAATTTTTGCCATCTTTTATTTACTATGACAAATTAGTGTTTTATAATTTCGGATAATACATTAATTATTATGAGCAAAATGTTTTTATGGTCTATTATGTTTATTTATTTGATATTTATTGAAGAACAATATTTTTTAATTGAATAAATTCTGATTTCTCAGAGGCATTGGCATTCATCATTAGCAAGTTTTTTCCTGATGTGGCATCACCTTTGCTTTCGGTTAAAATGGTCTGCTTTTATAATATTTTTTTAAAGTGACCAACAAATCTGCCTTACTGATAACAGAAGATTGTCTATACATAATAATAGGATTTTTCGTTCACTAAACATTTCATACTTAATAAATTAGTTCTTAGTATCCATGAATTTCATAATTAATTTTCTTTTTTTTAAAATTCATTTGATCAAATTATATCCTGTTTTATTCCAAGTCTTAAAACTAAGTTTAACTTTTGTTTCCATCTGGTAATTTTAAAGCCTTATTTTTATTTAATTTGATTAAGTTATCATTGTATTTTATCATTTTCTTTTTTCCTTACAATTAGGCATGAAATATATTGCGTTTTTTACTTATTAATTTTTTTTATCTTAGTCAATTTGGTGATTTTAATAAATCTTTAGTTTAATATAATTTAGATTTATTTAGCTTATAAAGTTTAATTTCAAATTTTTTTTTAAATTTAAAAATCTTAACATATTGAATTTTTTTAAAAACGTTCAATTGATTTAATTTCAAATAAATACAGATTATTTGTATACTATTTTTATTTATTATTATTTTAACTAAATATGGATTGTTTACATATTTGTTAGTTTCTTTTTCGGGTGGTTTGATAATTGATCTTAAAAATATGTTCTTTTAATTATTTTCTTTTTAAATTAGTATCGCTCAGTTAAGTTTTGCAGTCTTATTGATGTTTTTTCTTTCCCTAATTAATTTTTTTATGGATAGTTTTAATTGTTTATAGCATTTTCATTTTTATGTTGATTAAATGCAATTTTACTACAAATATATACAGCTTATTTATATATTTTTATAATTTTTTTTTTTCAAATTCGCACTTATCAAAAATGTGAATTTTTTTTTTTTTTTTTTTTTTTTCNTGAATTTTTTTTTTTTTTTTTTTGTCTAATAAATTATTTTTGACATCTTATCTCTTTCAGTCGTATTTATAGCTGTGATAATTTATTATTTCTAATCAAAGTTGGTATAGTAAAAATCATTTGATTTTTTTAAAAAAATATATATTATTTTCTTACAGTTGTTATTCGATTTGTAATTCTAATTTACATTCTAATTAAATAAAAATTTTGTTGCATTTAAAAAAAAAACTATGAATAATAGGCCAATTTACTTGAAAAAGTCAGGGGAAAAACTTCTTTTTAAGTATGAACCCTGTTTGAAAAATAATTTACAGTTGCTCTTAAATTAATTTATTGGTTTACGTCAGGATTTCCAGAACTTTTCTGTGTTTTTCCGTACTTATGAAATTTAAAAGTGTCTCATAATGCTCATGTTATATAAAATATGTTTCTTGAATAATATTTATTATATAGATGTAATGTATGTTAAATTAATGCTGACTATGAAACATAATACCCAGGTTACTAAAATTAGTTTCACCAAGTTATACTAAAGTTGTTTTTACTTAAATGCTGTTAGTTATTGGAAATTTTGTCTGAATCTTAATTTTGAGACATTATTTTGTATTATATTCTGCTAAAAATAAACTGAAAAATTTATTTCTGCATTCTTTGTCTTAGAATATCATATTCCATATTCATTTTGAAATATTGGATCTACATAATATATATCCGATCATGTATTTTAATAAACCTTGAAGGGTTAAGAATCTAATAAGTTATCCAATAAGTGCAATGTGTTTCATATTACACATTTATTGTATAGTTAAAAGTATTATATTATAATTTAGCAATATGTATTTTTTTTTAATTATGTACTTTATTTTTTCATGAACTAATAATAATATAAATGAAGACTTTAATATTAATAAACTAAAGTTTATTTATATTAAATTTTGTTTGCAAAATTCAAAATACTGAAATATGTTTTGCTTTATATAATTTTGCTAAAAAAGTTATAAAGTTAAATGTACAAAACATAAGTTGAAATTAAATTACTTTTCTATCTTTATGTTGTTTATCTTTACCAGCTCTATTTTGTTTACACTCTGTATTTTCATTTTATTTTTCTCTTCATATACAGTAAACATGATTTTTCAAAATTTTGCTAACTGGAAGTTGAGAGTGGTTTTAATGTGCTACAGCATATTATTAATTCACTAGTGGGCTGCGCTTCCTGCTTGCTAAGGCACGCCAACCCCCGAAAATTGCTACGCAATCTTATATGGTTTGCTTCGCAAACCAAGCTCGCTTCGCTCGCTACTAACTTAGATACATTGCAAATCCGCAAAATTCTAAGAATTCAAATCAATCATTCAAATTCTTGTAACAACTTTTTTTAAAAAAAAAAATTACATCCTTTTAGTAAATACTAAGTCATTAAAATAAATTTGAATTCAAATAAAGACTCATTGACTGAGACTCATATGAATAACTAATAACTATAATAAAACAAATAAATTCGTAGTCTAAATCAAAAATCGTCAAATAAATTCGTAATATATAAATTCGTGAAAAAAAGCGCTTTCGGCAAAATACTAAAATAGAGATCTATCGACAAAGACTACTCACTTCTGCCTAGCTTAATAGTATGAGATCGCTGCAGCTGAATTGTTATTTCAGTTTCCGTTTTTAAAAGCGCTATATGTTGAGCCACCTCAGCTAGATTTGGCATGTGACATTTTTAGCGTCAATTATTGGTCGATTTTCTAGCATTGCCATTTGGGGAGTTGTAATGAGGTTTTTTTGTCCCCGTGTAAGAGATATATATATATATATATTTTATAGCCTGTCATAGCTATTTAAAATAATCTTTTTGTTTTAATGGTTGCATAAGTTTACTTTCTACTATCCATGTTGTCACTCCGTTCTCTGTTTAAATCTGTTCTCTGTTTTCCTGCTTTGACACAAATGGAAATTATGGCATTAACTGCCAATCACCACACTTCTTTTTACCAGCAGTTAAAGGACCATTTTGTGTGAGTTATCAAAAATTGAACAATAGTTCTTAGGATGATTTCTGATTAGTAAAAATCACAGATAACATTCAACAACAAAATAATCACAGAAAGTGATAATTTTACAAATAAATAGAGAATATCTGGACCAAGTGATTTTGATAACTATAAGCAATTGATAACATTAACCAAGATCACTTTAGATATTTATTAAATTTAAAATTTAATGCTGTCAGTATTGTGAAACAGGATGTAACATGTGTTTTTGATATTTTATTTTTTGAGGAGTATCATTTTTCTCTTACACTCACTTTGGTTTTAAGACTCATTTCATTTTTTTTTTTTTTTTTTTTTTTTTTTTTNGATGATCATACGATATACGTGATATCAAAACTAAAAGAGCATTGAAATAGCCTTAGCGGATGGAGACGGCACGTTTCCCTTCGGCACACGTGGCGTCATAACCAATCAGGGATCGTTTTTGATTGCATCACTTACGGAGGCCTTTTGGGGCAATTTAAATGTTTAATAACTAAATAAATTAACATTTGCTGAAAAAAACAATCAGATTTTCGGTTTCAGGAGAGAATTTCCAATAAGTTAGGTATGAAAATAAAAAAAATTATGATATACTGTAATTGTCCATTAATATGAAACAAAGTTCATTGTAGCATCCCAAGGTTAATTATTTCTACCTGCAGCACTCTTCTAAAAAAGGTTGTGCATTTCAAAGAAAAAAAATAGTGAAATATTAAAAAAAAAAATTGTTAATTACTTATGAATGTCATTTTCTTAATATTTTTTTCTTTATGTGTTTTATACTATATATTAAATTAAAACTTTTAATAATATGTGGAGAAAACTATTTACAGAGCTTTGAAAACATATATATTTTACAATTTCTCAAAAAGTGGAAATTTCTAAATATGTTACTAAAGTTTCCAACCCTTTACTGATATAATCTAAAATGTAGTTTTTTTCATTTATTCCGTTTTCAAACTTTCTATAATAAAGTATTTTATTTTATTTAAAATATCATTTATAATTTCATCTCAGTTTTCCATAAAAATTAAAACTCTTTTACTACAATAATTATTATAGAAAACTAGGTGTCTTTTTGTTTTAGATATTATTAAATTATATGAATGTTTTATTAAAAAAATTTTATAAAACCATTTACAATATTTTTAACCCTGGCTGAGCAGAGATCTGTTATTTATATTTTCTGATATTGAAATCATTAGCCTATTTGTAAAAATTATTAAAATTCCATTGAAATTTTGCTCTCTCTTCACTTCCCACATGCTCATATTTGTTTTTAATATTATGAAGATGGCCTTTTTGCTAGACAATTATTTTTTCTTTTTAGAGAGTAATATATATTGTCTAATTACTGATAGTTATGAAAATTCTATACTTATTGACTATTTTATTTCAAAACACATAGTTAATCATCAAAGTAATGTCTTATGTATTTTATTAAGAATTGTATATGTTTTAAGAGTTTTTCTCTCTATTCAGAACTTCCTGTTGTAAAGTTTGCATGTGGTGCAAAAGAAGTAATCAACTATGAAAAATGGTCTTTCAGAGCTCATAGTGGAATGATGTTAGTTAGGAAAATGTTGCCATTAAAACTAGCATGGGCTATGTCTATTCACAAATCACAGGTAATTAATTTTGAATGTTTGAAGAACTTTTTGCCAACCTTAATTTTATAATTTCCAAAAATAAGTATCATTATAAATTGTAAGTATGATGATTGAAATTAATTATTTTGAAATACTAAAAACATTGTATGACAGGGGTCGTACGCACTGGTAATTGTCTGAAAAAATTAGATTTGAAAAAAGTTAGGGAAAAACGTAATTTTAGCCCAGAAACCAGGAAATGTCAGGGAATTAGACACCCATTGTGAAATTTCACTCTTCCATTTTCAAAAAGTCTGCTTTTGTTGATCAATTTTTGTCATCTTTCATTTACTATGACAAATTAGTGTTTTATAATTTCGGATAATACATTAATTATTATGAACAAAATGTTTTTATGGTCTATTATGTTTGTTTATTTGATATATTTTAAAGAACAATATTTTTTAATTGAATAACTTCTGATTTCTCAGAGGCATTAGAAGTTTTTTCCTGGTGTGGAATCACCTTTGCTTTTATAATATTTTTTCTAGAGTGGCCAACAAATCTGCCTTACTAATAACAGAAGATTGTCTATACATAATCATAGGATTTTTTGTTCACTATACATTTCATACTTAATAAATTAGTTCTTAGTATCCATGAATTTCATGATTAAGATTTATTTTCTTGGTTAATTTGGTGATTATAATTAGTCTTTAGTTTAATATAATTTAGATTTATTTAGTTTATAAAGTTTAATTTCAAAATTTTTTTTTTTTAAATTTAAAAATCTTAACATATTGCATTTTTTTAAAAACGTTTTTCAATTGATTTAATTTCAAATAAATGCAGATTATTTGTATAATATTTTTATTTATTATTGTTTTAACTGAATATGGATTGTTTACATATTTGTTAGTCTCTTTTTCGGGTGGTTTAATAATTGGTCTTAAAAATATGTTCTTTTAATTATTTTCTTTTTAAATTAGTATCCCTCAGTTAAGTTTTGCAGTCTTATTGATGTTTTTCCTTTCCCTAAATAATTTTTTTATGGATAGTTTTAATTGTTTATATCATTTTCATTTTTATGTTGATTAAATGCAATTTTACTTCAAATATACACAGATATTTTTATAATTTTTTTTTTAAATTCGTCCTTATCAAAAATGTGATTTTTTTTTTGTCTAGTAAATTATTTCTGACATCTTATCTCTTTCAGTCATATTTATAGCTGTGACAATTTATTATTTCTAATCAAAATTGGTTTAGTAAAAATCATTTGATTTTTTTAAAAAAAATATATTATTTTCTTGCACTTGTCATTTGATTTGTAATTCTAATTTACATTCTAATTAAATAAAGATTTTGTTGCATTTAAAAAAAAATAAAAGAAATCTATGAATAATAGGCCCATCTACTGAAAAGTCAGGGAAAAAACTTCCTTTTAAGTATGAACCCTGTTTGAAAAATAATTTACACTTACTCTTAATTTAATGGTTTATGTCAGGATTTCCAGAACTTTTCAGTGTTATTCCATCCTTATGAAATTTAAAAGTGTCTCACAGTGTCCCTGTTATATAAAATATGTTTATTGAATAATATTTATTATATAGATGTAATGTATGTTCCATTAATGCTGACTATGAAACATAATACTCAGGTTACTAAAATTAGTTTCACCAAGTTATACTAAAGTTGTTCTTACTAAATTTTAAATGCTGTTTGCTATTGGAAATTTTGCCTGAATCCTAATTTTGACACATTATTTTGTATTATATTCTGCTAAAAATAAACTGAAAAATTTATTTTTGCATTCTTTGTCTAAGAATTATAATTTAGCAATATGTATTTTTTTTAATTATGTACTTTATTTTTTCATGAACTAATGATAATATAAATGAAAACTTTAATATAAATAAACTAAAGTTTATTTATATTAAATTTTGTTTGCAAAATTCAAAATACTGAAATATATTTTGCTTCATATAATTTTGCTTAGAAAGTTATAAAGTTAAATGTATAAAACGATAAGTTGAGATTAAATGAATTTTCTATTTTTATGTTGATTATCTTTACCAGCTCTATTTTGTTTGCACTCTTTATTTTCATTTTATTTTTCCCTTCTTATACAGTAAACATGATTTTTCAAAATTTTGCTAACGGGAAGTTGAGAGTGGTTTTAATGTGCCACAGCATATTATTAATTCATTTTTTATAGTCTGTCATAGCAATTTAAAATTATCTTTTTGTTTTAATGGTTGCATAAGTTTGCTTTCTACTGTTCATGTTGTCACTCCGTTCTTGGTTCAAATAAAACCATGCTTTGAGACAAATAAAAATGATGGCATTAACTGTCAATCACCACACTTTTTTTACCAGCAGTTAAAGGACCATTTTGTGTGAGTTATCAAAAATTGAACAATAGTTCTTAGGATGATTTCTGATTAGTAAAAATCACAGATAACATTCAACAACAAAATAATCACAGAAAGTGATAATTTTACAAATAAATAGAGTATATCTGAATCAAGTGATTTTGATAACTATAAGCGATTGATAACATTAACCAAGATCACTTTAGATATTTATTAAATTTAAAATTTGACGCTGTCAGTATTGTAAAACAGGATGTAACATGTATTTTTGATATTTTATTTTTTAAGGAGTATCATTTTTCTATTACACTCACTTTAATTTTAAGACTCATTTCATTTTTTTTTTTAATTCTAATTTTATTTCTGCTTTCAGGGAATGACCTTAGATTGTGTTGAAGTTTCTTTAGCTAGAGTATTTGAATGCGGCCAAGCCTATGTAGCTCTCTCACGAGCTCGTTGCTTAGATGGACTTCGTGTACTTGATATTGAACCATCAAGTATCCGAGCCAATGCTCAAGTTTTAAAGTTTTATTCTCAATTACGTTTTGCTAACTCCTCCGAACAATCAAGCATAAATGATTACCTTGATTAAGTAAAACAGTGACTTTTTAATAAACTTCCACCTCAGTTTTCTCCATACCAAAAATTGACTGATTTATTTATTTATTTTTATAAATTGTAAATCTTGTAACTATCTGACTGACGTGGATGTATGACTCTAACTTTCATAATTCTTGAAAAAAAAATTATTAAAAATTATAAATCCAAATTATTTTTTATTATTTTTCAACTAATGAATACTTTGCCCTTTTCTCAAGGAACAATTGTATTTAAAATGCATATTATTTTATTTTTATATATAATTAGTCAAAATATATGTATATTTATGTTTGTATAAATTGTTTAATACTATTTTTCGTTGATGTTTGCATGCTGCAGCCAAAATACCAGACTGGTTTAAATAGCATTTAATTTTTTCTCTTTAAACTATTTGTTCTGTTTGATATTTAAAATGACTTTATATTTATTCATTTTTTTAGCAAAATTACTTTTCAGCAAGTAAGAAATAATGCTATTCTATTTATAAACTCTCTGAGCATTTGAATTGTTTTTTAATAAAACTTTTATTTTTAACCTAACCAGTTTCTCCCTATTTTGAACATACTGAAATAACTTTTCAAAATGTTTAAAACTCACATTCGGCTGTAATCTGGTTTTGTTAAAATGTTAGTGCGTATGCTAACGGGAAATTTAATAATCTCTTCTCAAATTAAGAAAGCTAGGATTTGCTAGTAACTATAATTACTAGTTAACAATTCTGTTCATATTTAATTTTGATCTTTCTATTTGGCTATAAGCTGATTTTGTTAAAATGTTAGTGCAATTTCTAAATGGAAATTTTATAATTCATTCTCGAATGAAGAAAGCTGGGATTTACTAGTTATTATGATTTACTATAATTACTAGTTAACAAATTATGCATATATTTTATTTTAACCTTTCTATATAGATTATAAATAATTTTCAAAGCAAATTTGATGATAAACATTATGTTGATTGAGGTATCTTTTTCTTTTCTTTTGTATCATATATTTTACAATTTTCTCTTGTTGTAAAAAATATTGTTTTAATCTTTAAATTGTTCATTTCAAGGCAAGTTGTTTTCATTCCTTACATTGAGAATTTTACTGTTATTGCTAAACATTTCAATGTTTCATGATTTTATTTATTTGATGTGTGTGAAATGCAATGTGTTAATATTTGTTTCAAATGAAAGCTTATAATAATTTATGTTTTATTTATTTCTAAATTTTTTGTCATTATTTATTCTGAATTCTCTTTTGTCCTTAAACTTTTCATGTTTATTTAAAAACCATTTCAATCTATTATTTATTACCTCGTTTGTTTTGTTTTTTTATTCATGCCATTCCAGTACTTTTACAATATGAAAAACATTGGTTTTCTTCATTAAAGAAATAAAGTGACTTTTTAAAGTTTTGTGTTTCTTGTACTTTTCATAACATAAATAATTTTATTTTTACAAGATTTATAGCCATTAATTAATTCTATGTTTATTTATTTTATTTATTTATCAGTGCACAAATTGTTGCAAAGTAATTTGAAGGAGAGAGTATTTGTGGGAAGAACATCTATGTGGAACTGTTAGTAAGTTGCATGTCTTGCAGTAAATGTGTGGATGACACAAATCATCTGTGTTACCTACAAGTTGTCCAGTCTAAGAATTCTAATGATAAGATCATATTCTTTGATTTTGGAACAGACCAAGAATTCAGAGAGCATAAAGTAAATTTTGCAGTTGCACAATACAAGTAGATGACCTCCAGAATGTGAGACGGAAGAAAAATAAACTGAATATATGAGACAATGTGAAGAGAAGGAGGGCATAAAACTTGACCCTGACAGAATTGATCCAGGATGACCATAAGTGTGTCAAAAAGCATATGAGTAATGTTCATTATATTTTTTAAATCTTTACAAACTATTAGTGGGCACTACAAAAATTTACTTTCAATAGTGTTTTCTTTCAGGCTGAAATTTTTTTTTTCATATTAATGTACTTACATTCAGTTTTTGTTTATTTATAGATGAGTTTCTACCTAATTCAGAAGTGACTGTTATACTATGGGAAATGTCAAAGTAATTTGTTCTTTAAATCTACTTTATAAACTTTTTTTGGCTGATTTTACTACCACATGGACCCATTTAAAGTTGCATTCAGAAGTGAATGAAATTGAGAGTGCTGTCCTTTATTATGGTACATATAGCATCATTTATGACAATGAGACGAAATGAACCATCCATTGGAAATTTCCTTGAAGAATTCACAGATGAATTAGATGGTGACATCATGGACTTTCGTTTCTGGCTAACAACTTTTTTGTTTATTAACAGGTTTATAGTTTGTCTAAAATAAGTACTCCTCCAGACATTCGTCTGGACCTGTGGCGATGACTATGGTAACATTGTTTTTTGGCGCAACAAATTTATGAGAGAACATCGGAGTGTGTAGCGTCAACTTGTTTATTTAGATAAAACTTGGATTGACAGCAATTTGACTTTCCAGAAATGCTGCCAAGATGAAAGCAACAACATTGGTGATGTTTTGAACTTGATGATTCTAAAAACAAACTATTCGTTGTGCAAGCCGGATCTTCAACCAGATTCATTCTGGGAGCTTTGTAGGCGTATAAAGCATCGAGTCAGTCTAAAGACTATCGTGGCCAGATGAATTTTGAAAATCTTAGCAAGTGGTTGCTTGAAAAATTGCTACCAAACCTGCAACCTCAAAGTGTGTTAGTGGTGGACAATGCTTCACCTCACACAAAAAATCCTTCACCAACAAAGTATGCCACAAAAGCTGTAATGGTGGACTTGCTCGCGATGGTATTAATTGCACTCATGATATGAGAAATTGCTCTCAGATGTATATTTTCAATAAGCACTGATAATGATGTTTAAAAAAAATGTTTCTAATAATGTTAACACTAGTTATAAAAAAATCTATACGCAATAACTCATTGAAAAGCAATGTTTTATAAATGTTTTATCGCCGCCATTGAATCTTCTCTTAGCTATCATTAAATTAAAATCTTTTAAAAAACAATGTTAAATGATATTTTGTGTAATATACTTACTGTGAAGATAAAATATAAATTTAATAAACTAATTTATTATAATTTAGAATAAAAGAGCTCATTATGTTTTCTAAAATTTTGAGAATAAATATATTGTTAAGTAAAGAAGAAGAAAAACATCTTGGATCATAATTATAATTTTTTCCTTTCATAAATGTATGTAGTTTACTGAATATTTTTTTGATATCTTGCAAAAAAAACTGTATCTATTCAATAGGTGTTTAAAAAGATTGTAAACGACATGTGTGTTTTTTTGGTGATGAAAACGTTATGTTTTTAATCAGTAAAAATAAAAACCATTTTGAGAACTTGCTTTTTCAAAAAGATATTTTTTTCAAGTACTTTGAAAAACAAAAAAATACTTTTTTTTGCTTTTTCAAAAAAACAATTATTTTTCTAGTATTTTTCTTCCTGAATTTTTTTCAGCTGCCGTTAAACTAGTTTAAATTAAGAAAAGAAAATATTTTATAGAACATTTAAAGCAATGAAAAACAAATAGTACTGTCTTTTGTGATTGATTATTTCACAGTACCAATCACATTAATGAGACTGGACTGCGTATATACACAAGATGTTCTGTATGACTGCCTTAATGGGATATTTTTGTAAGCACTATAAAAACTTAGTGAAAAAATATTGACAGTGTGGTTGCACGTTAAGATTTGGGGGGTGAAATCATAATCAAACGCTGACCCATCAGTGTTATGACTTAATATGGCAAAGGTGTGATTAGAATCTTTAAATTTATTTATCTGTTACTTGATATGGTATTTTGTGCACTTTGTTTTCAACAAAATATTATGTTTTCGTTTATTCCTTCATTACCTTTAGTTTTCTATGCCTTTCCTGCATGCGTTCAAAAAAAGGAGAGAAAAAANAAAAAAAAAAAAAAAAAAACATTAAAGCAGATAAGAAGTCTAACCTGAAGGATTGTTCTAAACAAAAGAGAGTAAAAGAAAGCACAGTCCAATTCAATTGATCAACTGATTTTTGATTATTTTCATACTATCTTCCTGTTGATTCATCATAATCTGGTAGGGTTAAATAATTTAATAATTTCTAATTCTTAATGAAATATTAACAAAATCATATGTAATATAAATAAATAAGTTTGTAATGTTTTCAGTATTAGGAACATAATTCAGTATTTTTCAGCATTTTATTAATTAAAAGTTACAAATATTTTTCTTTTAATTTACAATTTCAGTTTTGTACATATTTACAGGTTATTTTTTATTTCTACAAAAGGCTTTTCATTTTTAATGACATTGATGTTGCCTTTCAATCCTTGTAAGAAATCAGGCCATGCTACAACCTTGCCTGGAATATCATCATCGATATTACAAAGTCTAGTAATGTTACTCTTTGAAAAATATTCATTCCAAACATTAACCCTAAAATAAAAATGACACATTCAATAATTTTGTTTGGCAATGAATACTTTGGGAAATACATATTTGGAATTCTTTTTGATAATATGAATTCTTTTGTTTCATTAATAGTTTAAATAAATAATTTTATCTCCTAAATAAGAAATTTTTATTGTAGTTTCAACTTTATAATTGTCTATATAGTCCCTACCTTTAATATTTTAAAATTTTTTATCAACATTAACAACGAACAATATGCTATCAAAATTTCTCAGATCACTAATGAGGAATAAAGGTTGAAGAGTATCAAAACCAGTTTAGTTGACTGATGTAGATGTTTCTAATTGCCTTTCAACTCCTACCTGTTCCCTCCCTAAATCATGTAAGATTTGGTATTTTCTTAGTTTGCCTTCCTCAGTAGTGGTTAACTATTAAAAACTTTTATATTTATACCTCACTTATGTTTTTATTTGTGTTTTTGTTTCTTCCTCCCTTTAGTATTAATTTGCAAGTTGTTATGAGGATGTACTTTTTTTACATCACTTTTAATAAGAATTTTAAAAACATGTATTAATGGCAGGCACTTTGTATAAATAAATATATATATTTCTTTTAGTCAGGATATATTCAAAGCATTTTCGCTTCACATATTTAATAAATGGTTATCTCTTATTTTTATAATTTGATTTATGAACAGGAACTGTAAATGTTATAAAAAAATCCATAATAACTTTGTATGTTGAAGTTTAAATGAATAATTGTTTACAAAAATTCAAATTATTTATCTTGCAGTTACTGGCAATATAGATATTTGAACATTTGTTATGAACATTTTATTTCATAAATTCTATCTGTCAATACCAAAATATATTGTTATAAAGCTATTATGGTTTTTTTAGTTACATTTCAAGTTGGTATCATTATGTGTTTGCATCAATATTGCATTTATGAAATAATAAATTCTAAAAGTTCTAATACATACTAACCGGGTAATATTTCCAACAAATGTTTCCATGGGACTAAATCCTCCTCCTACTTCATCTTGTTCTTGTCCAATCACCATTATTCCCCCTTCTCTGATGAAACTATTAGGTTGTAAGTTTTTTCCTTCAGACTGAAGTTTACCATCCTTGAATAAAACCCATTTTCCTGCCAAACAAGATAATAGCATGAAAATACTTTAACACATTATGAAAGCAAAGAATACAGAATTGCCATAGTACTTCTTATTGTGAGTATTTTTCTGCATAATTTATTTCCTTAATACTAGATTGCCCAAGGAAGTAATTTTGAATGCTTTTTAATTTTAATGAGAAAAACGATGTGCATAATGATACAATTTCTTAGAATTTTATGACTTTTTGTACAACATAAATTTTTTTTTATTGCTAATATTTACTAATAATTTGTTATGTAACTACACATTAGTTATTCTTTCACAATCCAGTCATTTTGACTGCTTTCAGGCAATGTAGGTATATACTAAGTTTCAGTCTTTCTAGTGTTAAACCAAACTCAGTGACGCGACAGCCCATAGAGGGCCCCAAGGCTTACTGTGCCCATCTCAGTTTTCTTGACTTTAGGCTGCAAGAGTAAATGTTCCGGTTGGGTGGTCAACCCAGCCCGTATTTAGTTCCCGCGTGCTTGATACTCATTTTATGGACCCACTGAAGGAACGAAATGCTGAATCAACCTTTCCCGGCCTGAGGATCAAACCAAGGACCTGAAGAGCTACCAATCAGCCACTGTGCGGCCGCATTTTTCTGATTTTGTGCCACTGTGTGCCGCCGCGAAACCCAAAACCTTTAATTTTATTTAAAACATAATTATTTTAATTTTTATGAAAAAGGGGGGTAGACTAATAAAATGTATGTACTCTAAGGGGGGTTAAAATTTCTCCGATTTTGTGTACGTACTTTTTGGACGACCCCTTGCGTATGTTGGTGGACAAACTGAATCTACCCTTAAGATCTTCATGCCGAATGCAACGGTGATGTGAGACACGATTTTTTTTTCTTTTTGCAAGTGATTGCAAAACAAAAAACACCACATTAATAAAACAAACCTACATCCTTGCTAGCGCATCCGCAGAAACCGCATTATAAGAGCAGGTCCACTTTTCATATAGGTGTGTCTAGTTTTTGATTTATTGTAATTGTTTTGCACTTATATTATAATTTTTTTTAATATTCATATTTTTACATTTTTTCTATTTGTATTATTATTTTTCAGTGTTATACTACACTTTAATATTAAGATACTTTAAATAAATTTTGCATCACACTTGTACAAACATAATATTTTAATTATAAAATCTTATGTGCATGTGGGATAATGATACTATTGAAACAATAGCAACAATCAAGAGAGTTCCACTGAAAGGATAAATTTTTATTTCACCGTGATAAAATAGTGGGAGAAACCATAGATCAGCTGGTATTACCAAAGAATGGGAACGAAGAGTTGAAATTGGCGCAAACTGCTCTTTTCAGAGATCACGTGGGAGCAGATAAGACTACAAAAGGAATACGGTATTCAATGATCTATTTTTTGTGCGTAATAAAGAAAATATAGTTGTAAAATTGGAATCTACATTAATTAGCTAAAACTCACCAGAGTCTTCAGAAGACCAAGTAAATGCCAAATGATGCCACTGGCCATCTGCTACTTGAACATCTGTCACCAACGGTTCATTATTGACGTAGACATGTAGTCCTGAGCAGTCACTGATGGTGAGAGCATTGTCAACTACATTTCCAGTTTCATCAGTACTACTAGTAGATGCCACAGCATATGATAGTGGAGTGCCTGCGTGATTAGTATCATTTGTTTGAACCCACATAGATACTGTGACATCTGACATGGGTGATTTGAGTGTCATGGTTGCCATATTGGCAATTGTGGCGGCAGATTCTGGGAAATTTAAGATGAAATCATCATCCAATCCTTTAAAGAAAATTTTGTTAGTTTACAAGATGCTAATGTAGTCTTTTATAATTATTAAACAAACAATTTTGTAACGTGAACAGGCTCTTTGTTAATGAACAATCAGCTAAATAGAAAAAAGGGAAAAACTGTCAATAACTTTGGATCTAATGTTAGGAATTTTACACATTAAGATGTAATTTTAAAGATTTGAGAAGCTAACTTTAAATTTGAAAATAACTGAGAGCAGATGATACTTAGATAACGAAATCGGACACAAAAGTGCACTTTATTCTTATAACGTTCTATTTAATTTTTCCTTCCATGATTCAGATTTATAGCTCTCAAAATGTCAGAAGCGTAGCCCCGATCAGGAAGACCCGGTAATTAACTAAGGGTAGCTCTCGAAATTTTATGCCTCTTAATGTTGCTTTTGCTTTGTGTATATTAATTGAAGACATCAAAAAAATTTTGCGACCATTTATAAATTGCATTTGCCCAAAGGTAGGGAATACTTTTTTTGATACAGAATATATTATGATTCTAACACTTCTGAATTCTAAGTAATAAATTTTTTTTCAACTTCAATATGTAATTTTTTAAACTTCAATTAAATTTGGTTGAATTGTTTTTCCGTTCTCTGATTCAGGTCTAAATTACGATCTGTGGATAGATGTATGAATGGGTCCATTCTATAAACTGGTGTGGCAGAAGTCGAATTCTTGGCCATAGATGGTACCAAAACAAGAACAATCGCACCCCTCTGCCTTAGCAGGCGTACATCAACAACAAATTGTATTTTAGAAATAAAAGTTACAAATTATAACTTCTTCAAATCAATTCTTCTGGGGGGACTGATCCAGGACTTTCCTTGTCTTCTGGATTGGTTCAAGATTACAAGGCTACGGAGTTTAACATCAGTAGTCGTAAAGACCCAAAATTGGGTCAACGACGGATATAAAAAAAAAAATTATAACTTCTATTTTTTTTCCATCGACACAACTAAAAATTAGTGTCCATTTTAGCTGATGTTGTCGTAGTAGCCATTTCATCTTAGTTTTTAACCCTTTCGTTTCGGCAGACTGCTTTACTGATGTAACGCCATTGAAAGGTGTAACGCTTCTCGAAATTTGCATAATTGCATGTTAAGATTCTGATTATAATTTACTTTTCTACCTAACGTATACTTCACTCCTAAATATAACGCACAGAAGAAATTCGTTACCTATTATACGCATTAAAAATATACTTTTAGTGCTATTAATCTAATATAGGTCAATGAAATATTATCCAATTTTAGTTTAAAGCAGATTGGACCTGTTATCATATATCATGCTGACGCCGGCCAAATATGGTGCGTGTACGCCCGGTGCAACGCGTAAATGTTAGCTAAATATACGGCGCTAATAAAGAGTTAATACTCCGAAATTGTTCATTTTATTAGATCGAAAAACAAAGAGTGTTTAAACAATACCTGCTGTTAAACAATAAATTAAAATAGTGTCACGTTGATATTATTAGATAGTTATATCAAAGACAATAAACAATAGATAGAGTGAAATCTCAGTGCGTAACAGAATTTTGCATAAAAATATCTCAGAATAACGCTGAGCCTTCTTTTCACGTATCTGCAATTTAGATGATAATTGTACTTAATGAGAAAGGTGTGAACTTAACTGATTTCACAGTATATGCCACTATAGCCAGGTGGACAAACGCACTTATACGAGCCAATTAAATCTTCACAGGTTGATCCACTGGAACATTGATTTCCTAAACAATCATCAATATCTATCTCGCATACTGGACCCGTGAAACCATCCGCGCAGGCACATTTATATGATGCAATATCATCAATGCAACTAAAACATAAATAATAAATTAACATGGTTTTTCGTAGTTCTTTCTCCAAGGAAAATAAAAAAAGCCACAAGTTAAGAGTCTTACACTTGAAGCAAAGCTAAATTATATCTGATATTTTGCCTTAAAGAATTATCTGAGCTTTAGAACGGACAAATATTTAAAAGTTATTAAACTTTTTTATAAAATCGCCAATTTAGCGACATTTTTCCACCTAGATAGAAATTATCAAAATCAATGACTTATTATCATTTTTAACAATTTTCTTTTATGAGCCATAGAGTAAGATAATGCAGCAGTGGAGTAAGTTTTTTAATATTAAAAAATTAGACAACAAACGCTTTTCATTTTCTCGAAACTGGCTTTTCTCCATATTGAGTTTTGCTCCCTTTTTAGATTAAACATAAAGGATGCTGATAAAAGATAGGCTAAACTTGACTTAACTGTGTTGAGTAATTGTTGCAAACTTAGAGCAGTTATAAAAATAACCATCTTACTGCAAAAAAAGAAAAAAAATGCGACTTCAGAGCCTTCGAAAAGCAACTTTAATTAATAAGGATATCATAAAAGAAATTATTTAAGTTATTAGTGTCATTGGGTGTAAAATCGGAAAAAAAATTATCCAAATGAATCTATGAGGTAAAGTATGAAATCAAGAGAAAAAAAACTTCAAATTTTACTTTTTATTGCTTATAACCTTTACTGTTCAATAGATGACGTAGCATTCAGAATTTAGATAATTAAGTGGTGATTAATAAGGTAGCGTGGTCGGATTTTTGACGAAATTGAATTTTACAACCGTTCTGCGCTGTTTTAATAATGTCTTAGGCGTTTCGAGACGAGCATGAAATTTTTCAACACATGTTGCAAAGAATTTGATATTTCTTTGATTTAAGGACTTATTAAACACATTTTTCGAACGTTTATATAACTTCATTTTCTGAATAGGTCTGATTAATAAAGTTTTGAAATCCAACACGATGTACTTTCTGCGAATAAAGGCTTTTTATTCGGCTGATTAAGATTCTTGACTCTAATTGAGAATTTATCCATAATTTGGAAATTATGGTTCGAACAGTTTAATCGAAAATTCGATACGCTTCTTTGTTATATTTTACTGTATGTGTGGCTGGTATTAATTGTGTGAATAAAAAAGTATCTTTAACTAAATGTCTAATTTTAAGGTTATAAAAAATAAGACTCTTTGTTATTAAAACAAATTTAAAAATTGGTAATTTTTTCAATGCACATTTCCTATATAAAATATGGTGATAGAAGATGAGCTAGCAAAAAATTATTTTTATATTAGAATGATCAATAGAATTTTTCCAGTCATAAAAAATGAATAAATGAGAAGCAAATGATTTACCTTCCATTATTCAAACATGTGATATTTACGCATTCATCGATATCCACAGAACAATCTATTCCATCATATCCAAGTTTACATTCACAAAATGTATTATTTGTTTCTGCGTCAATAGTGCATAACCCACCATTTAAGCAGATGATATCATGATAGCATACTTCAAGTTTTATTTCACAGTTCGATCCATCGTATCCCGCTGCACAAAAGCATTCATAATCGTTCACCTGAAATTAAAATAGTTAAGGAATTAGTTTAATATATATTATGTACTTGCATAAACTTATAACCTTTTTCCGTTTTTAACAAGCGAAAAAAAAGTATCTAACAATTTTAAATCAGAATTATATTTTCATATTAAAAATTTTCTAATTTAAATAGTAGTCAATGATAAGCATTGTGCTAGTACAAATAACTTTTTTGAAAGACAATTCCGATGTACATTTGTTGAATTCTAATATCGTTTTTTATGACTTATGTTCCATTTAGAGAAGAATCAATTTTCACTTTTTTATTTTGACTTTCCATTTTGTAATACTGCACTAGATTAATATTATATGTTGCTGTTTCTAATGCCACTTGCCAAATACTAGCAAGCCTGCTTGGTGATACTAAGCGAATTTAAGGGAGAGGTTACGTTTCTTGTTTTCAGTGGAACCATCTATGGCCAAGAATACAACTTCAGCCACACACACTTCTCAGTCCGTTTATAGGGTGGGCTCATTCATACATCCACAGATCGTAATTTTGACTTGAGCCAGAAAACGATCAATCTCCAATTCAATACCCCCAGATTTATTTATTGGTTATGGGAACATGGAGGATAGTGTGACCCGGCACATTTAACGTGCACCAGTCACCATTTACTACACGGAGAGTCTTCAGCCGGAGGGCAACTCATGATCTCTCGGACATAAATAGTTATTTTAAAGAGAAGGTAAATTTGTTTTCACATCTTTATTTTAAACTTTTGTTTCTAATACCAGTTCAAGGCTGCCAACTTTCTACTCTTTTTGTAAAAAGTTATTCTAGTGGTAGCTAAGTTTATGTTTTAATGTATTATTTTTTATTCATTTAAACTTATTTTCTCCACCACTACATATATATAATTTCAAAGTTCATATGCAACGTCATTCATATGCATTTAATTGTTGAATTATTGATATTAATTTTATTTTTCAGTTTCATTTTTTTTTAACTCTGTACTAATGCAATTGTTATTTCATTGAAAAGATACAAGCATTTATTTTACTTTCTAATTATTTCAGCATTTTTTTTAGTGTTGTGTCAATATGATTGAATGAAGTGCATGATAATATTTTCTTCTCATTTTGATATTATATTTCACTTTAATGCTACTCATTTTTAATCCTAAGTCACAATGAGTTAGCACATAAAATTAAACTTGAAGCATAAATGAAAATATTTAATTTCTCTAGACAAAATTTTGCTTTTTTTATTTATTTTGGAAAGAAAAAAACGATTTGAATATAAGTTAATTTAAATATGTTTAATCTTTATATTTGTAAGATTTATTTTAAAGTATAAAAATGAAATTTCTAAACTTACTTTATCTGAACATGTCCCGCCATTGAGGCATGGTGAAGATGAACATTCATTAAACTCCTCTTCACATAATGATCCAGCAAAACCATTAGTACAGTTGCAATAAAAAGAACCCTCTAAAATATTACAAAATATCTAAGGCTTAAATTCAAAATGATTTTTAATCCTTGTTATTTGTGGCAGAGGATAACATACAAAAATAGATTTATGAAAAATAAATAAATATATCCCAATAAACTGAAGCGGTAAAATATTCTTGATTAAAAAACTCATTTGCTTAAAAAGTATCTAAATCGGAAATAACAGTCCACATGGTTCAATCGCTCAGAAACAGTCACCCATTTCGGGTTTCTTAGGAATTAATTCAATTTCGACGATGCCAAAATTATTTGCTCTTTAGTCGTATCATACTCATCTTGTTTCCCAGGTTATCTTTTTTTATTCATATGAATGCTGATTTCCTTGTAAACAACATTTGTTTATTACCACCTCTCCATAGCGCGTGGAAATGCATTTTACCCTTATTTGCCACTCTCAGCCACTGTGGAGTTTCTTGTTCTGTGTTTCATCTTTTATCTCTCTCGACTGCTATGGTTTTTCTACTTTTGTTTCTAACCTATATTTTTCGGTTGGAAACTTTGCGTTTCAAATTTCAAATAATTTTTGTTTCTTTTCGTTTACGTCTGGTAAGTCTTGAAAACGGGCTTCTGTTTTTGAGCCCCTGAAACATGTCAACTGTTATTTTTAATGAAGTATATTTTTGAAGCGAATGAAGTTTTTAATGAAATTAATAAAATCCTTTATTTCTCTGGCGTGGGTTGTCAATTTTTAACATTTTATTTTATTGAAGTAAATATCATATTGTGGTTCAAATATGACGGAGAAAAAGACATCATTAGCTATTGTCTGTAAAAGAAACTCATTATTTATATTATCCGAAATTATAAAATGGCATTAAAATTAGCTTTCAAATTTTATTCCGAACTAATGTCATTATAACATTAGTGGTTACTAACTAATTTATAGAAATATTTTTAAAGAATGTTTGCTTGCATAAAATTTAAGATTCCAGAATTCCTCTATCAATAAAAACGTTTGTACGTAATTTATTTTTCATTTTTGAATTGTAGAGAAAGATTTTTTTTAAACAATAATTTTTACTTTAAAATATGTTTGCGAAAAAAAGTTTTTCCTTCTTGATATTTGCTTTATTAAAAAATATTTTTTAAATTTGTTTTTGAGTTAAAATTTTATATAAGGAAAAATATTAAATTATTTACTTCAGTAAAGATGCAAAACTTTTACTCTATTTATGATTTCAAATTCAACACTACGCAACAAAAGGAAAATTGTCTGAAAACTCAAATGTATCAAATTAAATAAACTTATATAGAATATTAAATAAACTACATTGACGTTCGTGTTTCTAAAACAGTATTGCGCTCTTGTCGAATAATACGAAATTGTAGGGAAAGTCCAGATTAGTATTTTCTTAAATAATTGTGGCAAAATGCGCTTCTAGATTTCGTAGAATTTCCTACAATTACTATGGAAATCGCTAAATTGTGTCGTTCTTTATTAAAAAATAATAATTCTTAAATCATTCCTGAACCTTGGGAAGATTACTTCTTACCTGCACGATCTTACAAAATACTCTTGTGCGAAACAAAAAACCAATTATATTAGCCTTGCCTTATTGCATTTTAACCCCTTCAGTTTTTTGCTATCATCTATTATTCAATCAATTTTTTATTTCATTTTATAATCGTCGTTGAACAGCTGACCCCATTTTGGGTGTACGACTACTAATGTTCAAGGTACTAATGTTCAATGTAATCCGTAGCCTTGTAATTTTGAACCCAATCCAGAAGACAAAGGAACTTCTGGATCAAGTATTGGAAGAAATTCGCCTTCATAGAGGACTTTCTGATGAAACTAATCTGCATTTGCGTTACATGGAGAGGAAAACCTCCCACGGTTAGCCTGCCTACAAGGGGACTAACTCATGATCCGTCTAGCATTGAGGATATTTTACGTCAGCACAGTTGTTGGTGCGAGCCAGATGCGGAATTTGCATCAACCACCCATTGCTGGGATTCGAACCCGGTTACCTCATTGGAAGTCGAACGCTCTATCCCCTGAGCCGCTACGGCTCTGTTCAATCGATTGAATTTGTTTTGAAAGTTTTATATGAGATTCATTTATGACACCAGTTTTGATGTGTCATTTGTACAGTGCACTAGCGAAGAAAACGGAATACCCTGAATAACTTTTGATCTAATACTCGGATATTCACGTTTTAAGACTCATTAATAGTTGTTTAAGGGGTGACCTCAAATTAGCTACTTAATTAGCGCAGACGATATTTTAAGTTGCGAAATCAGACCCAAAAACGAACTTTCTATGCATAAGCTTACTTTTTTTCCCCAACGGATTCGGATTTCTGATCCTTAGAATATTGGCGGTACCCGCAATCGGGGAAATATTTTTCCCATAGTTTGGTCAGGAAAGCGATACAAAGTTTGGAACCCTTAATGTTAACTTACTTTTTGCGTAATTCACCATATCTAGAGAAATTTTTATGCGAATTGAAAATCTTCTGCACACAATTATAAAAATCGTTTATCCAATGATAATTCCATGCAAGATATAATAAATATTTATTATTTTATTAAGTAATAGGTGAAAAATTTTTGAATTGTAAGGTATACAATTTTTACATAATTTTAACGTATACAAAATTTGAGCGAAACCGGTTGTTCCTGAGAAATCGAATATTAAACATGCGACTTATCTAAAATTTGATTTTGGAGGGACTGTACTTCGCTGATTTCGCTGCATATGTACCGTATATTCCGGCGTATAACGCGCACTTTTAATACAAAAAGTAACATTGGAATTTTCGGGTGCGCGGTGTACGCCGAATATAAAAAATTATAGATTAAAAAAATTTAAATATAGAAAAATACTTTTATTTTAAGGAAATGACATACCTTTACCAATATACTTTATTGATTTCTATACCTATACACAATCTGTTTCGTCTTCATCATCTGTGTTACCCTCATCCATAAATAAACAGTCATCTTCTGATCCGTCCAGATTATTTGAAATGTTGCATTTTTTGAATGATTTTCTAACCATCTCAGGCTTAATTTCATCCCATACTTTTAATATCCACTGTTTCCAAACTTGCATGACGCATATGTCCTCCTTTCGTAAAGGTTTTCTCGCCCTCCAACATCCAAGTGTTCCACTGTTTTTTTAAATTGGCTTTAAATGGTTTAAGCAGACGTCCAATGGCTGAACTAATGGTGTCAATCCGCCCGGAATAACTGCCATATCGGTGTTACATACTTTCAAAAATTTTTTTGTATTATCTGTAAGGTGGGACCAAAACATGTCCCACACTAAAAGGCTTTCTGGTTTTCTATAGATACTAGACGAGATATTGCACATGTAAAATCCAAATTTTCGTGCGCGTTATACGAGGAGTATATCTTAAAATTTAAAAAAAAGTTATTGGAAATTACGGGTGCGCGTTATACGCCGGGGCGCGTTATGCGCCGGAATATACGGTAGGTAAAACACCATTTTAGTGTAAGAACATTTTCTTATTTCATAGAAGTTAGCAGTTCCGGATCATGTGCGCTTAGCTAGTGTGGAAAATCTTATGAAAAGGATGATTTTTAACTATAAAAAATGATGTAGATAATGTAACGCAACGGGAGAAGAAAGTAGAACCCGTGCTACATGTGTGCTGAATGTGATGTACCCTTGAACTTTTTTTGGCAAATAATCACAATTAGATGCAATTTTCTTTATGGCAGTAAATAATTTCTTGGAAAGTATACTTCTCAACCCCGCAAACAGGAAACACTGCAGAATAAAATATATTTTCTTCTATGTATTGTTTAATTGTTAATAAAAAAACTGGAAAAAATTTAAAAATAAATGGTCCCCGAAAGGGTTAAGTGAGCTAGACACAGAAGTTTGTTGAAATGTTCAATAATTTTTTAGAATCTAAAAAGAATTAATATTTAAAAAAGTGAAAACTAGAAAACAATAGGAAAAAGATAATTTTCTATTTTAAATTTTTTCCTTTTGTAATGAAACAAGCAAAACAAAAATTGCGGTATTGTAATAATTTATAGATGTTTAAAAATTTTTAAAGTAATTTTATCCATTTGCGCTCTTTCTTAAACAATTCTAGAAATGCAACATAAACTCGCTGAAGTTACTTTTTTTTTCTTATATTATTTCTTTCAAATTTCATCAGCGATAGATTGTATTAAGTGCCCTGATAATCATGAATTTCTCTTTTCATTTTCAAGTCCAGCAAGAAGGTAGTTTTTGAGACGGCAAAAAGAAAATTAGTATTTATTTTGTGTTTTCTTCTTAAGTGTAAATTTTTGTATAGGATTGCATAATGATTTATTTGTTTAAATTCAGTTAATGTTTTGTACTTATAATGCACACTTTAAAAAAAAAGTTAACGTACTTTTAGAATTTAATTAAAAAAAATTAGTTTTTTGGACTCTTTTTAAATAGCAAAAAGAAAACCATCTTTAGATATGATTATTTTACTAATTTACCTGCTGATTTCTTGGACATTAAAAAAAAATATTTTAAAGAAACTATTACTTGAACATTAATAGGCTTATTTTAATATATATATATACCTATTTCTCTAGATTTTAAAAACTAAGTGGAAACTACTGTCTATGAGGATTCAATTAAAAATTGCAAAGCATCCCCGCTATCGCCCGATGTGGGTACCCATCGATCTGAAGCTGGGTGAGCTTCAAACCGCCGCTGAGGATCGAAACTTAGTTCTTCTCATTGATAGTTCAGCGCCTTAAGAGGACACCATACCGCGGAAGAAGAATTTCATCAAAAATTCTCTTTCTCCTTCATCACTAAATTAAAAGAAAGAAAAAGTAAATTCAGGCAAACCTTGAATATGTTATCAATTGCTGAAAAAAATACTGCAAAATATTAAAATGCAAATAAATTATTAGAAGAGAACTTTTCTTTTGCGTAATCCTAAGTTGTCATCTCATAATTTACTTTCATTTGCATGTTTTAAAATTTTCTTTTCAGTATTTGAAACTTCATGGCTTACTCTAGGTTTGTCTGAACTCACTTTTTCTATGCTGCAAATTTTAAATTAGCAATAAAGGAGAAAGAGAATCTGCGAGGAAAAATTTCTTCCGCGGTATGGTGTCCCCTTAAGCACTGAATCATCGACGCTCAAATTAAAATTGAATATATGTATTTTTTTTTCATATAAGAAAGGATAAAAGTTCTCACCTACATTCATACAATATCCATCATTGAAACAGGGTTCCATTTCACATTCATTGACATCATTTTCGCAATGGACTCCTTCATAACCGCTTTTGCAAATACACATGGCGTCTCGACCAACTCGTTTACACTGACCACCATTCTGGCAAATATCTTGAGTTGAACAAGGGTCCAAATCTGATGATAATATATGCAAACTGAGTATTATGAAACAAATAAATGATGAAAACATACTTTTGTTTAATGATAAAGTATTTTCTTAATAGGTTACGGGTCTTTAAAACTAAATAAATGAGTAATAAAATAATTATTTTCTACTGACCTTCGCAATCATCTGAGTTCGTAGAGCCACTGTTAACAGTAGAGAAATTAGCTGGACACTCTATGCATTTTGTTTGACCCGATAGAGATTGATAGTATCCTCTAAAGCAAGGCGCGCAAGGCACTACTCCAGATTCTGAAAATGTTCCTGGTTTGCAAATATCTAAAATGAATAACAAAAATTTATTCAAACAAGCGTTTTGTTTATTCTGAAAGAAATTTTTATTTAAAATATTGTTTAAATAAAACTGAAGCTTCTATATCTAAAGAGATTAATGAATCAGTGACCAAACTTTGCGAAGTAGTTTTTCGTCAACTGTGGTTGCATTCTTGTCCAACGAAACTATACAAACATTTATTTCGCAAAAACCTTTACATTTGCACAAGCAAATCCCAACGAAATGTGAAAGAAAATGAGTGATGAATCAATTACCACACTTTGCGAAGTAATTTTCCGTCAAATGTGGCTGCTTTCTTACCAAACGAAATTATTCAAAACATTTATATCGCAAAAACCTTGCATTTGCACAAGCAAATTAGATTGTATTAGGTTTATATTAGCTATAAATTTAAATAACCTTTGCAGTTAGAGAATGAAGTAGATTTAAGACTCGCGGTCGTCTTTAATTCTGGACATGAGTCACACATCTTTTGGCCCACATGTTCTTGATAAGTTCCGATGGGACATGCCATGCATGTTTCAAGTCCTGTAGGCGAATATGTACCAGAAAGACATATACCTGAAATAGATTAACTGATGAGTTCAATATGAAATGTAGTCATAAAAGATTTTAACAAGAATGAATAAAAATAAATTAATTTTCATTTATTCTCGTAAAGACATGAGAGAAATTTTCGATAATGATAGAAGTCTACTACGTAATGATATGCTCTACGTTTTTCATTTCAGGTCTGAAAGATGAAATGATGCATTCTTTTTATATTTTTCAAAATTTAAAGTGATTTAGAAAAAGAAACGTACAATTTAAGAGACAAAAACTAATAGGAAATTCCATAATTTGGATAATCTATTCCATAATCTATGGGAAATTTAATCATGATACTTATTTCAGCTATACTAAACTGTTTTATTTACTATAGAATTATTTAAGTATGTTTAGCTGTTTCTCCAGCAATTAAAACTAATAAATATAGTTAGCCCAATATAGCTCCCGCAAGAGCACAATAATTGTTGTTTCCTCTTAATATATTGCGTATAATAAGTACAGGGAAAACACAGGTTATTTTTTTCTCCAGATTTGAGTGGCAACCCTGTCAAACTTACCCCAGAGTCTTATTGGAATACCCAAATATGCAACAACCTATCATTATTAGTTTAAAAGCATGAGACAAAGTAAAAAAAAAAAGTGGAAATTGAAATAACAGATCGGGTGCAATGATATTTCACAGTTCAAATTAGTCACCAATAGCGCGACTGTTTGACCATGTGATCAGCGACAGCCAAAGCTGTACAAAGTTTGTGGGGAGAAGAGTACTTAAGCTAATTAATCCAAGGCTTTAGTTCTAACATTTGTTTAACATAACTCGTGGTGTCGAGACGTAACACATTATGTTAACACCCAGCTTCTTACTTAAAAAATTCAAACCTCTGAAAGTTATTAAAAATTAGAGTAAGTGTACATGACACCCAAAATTATTTTAACAAAATTTATTGATACTGCATCATTTTCTTTAATAGTTCGTTTTACACACGTGAAAGTGGAATTCCCCATTACGTTTTAAGTATTTTTAAAAATTTTTTATAAGTGGTATAACCAGAAACTGAGTCATCCGCGAGACGTTTAATTAAAATATTTTCAAAGTTTACGTACTTCTGCAATCGGTTTGGTTTCTGGATCGTCGATACAGCGTACTCATTCCATCTGGACACTTACTGCATGATAGTTGGCCTTCTAATTCTTGAAAATGACCTAATGGACAGTCCCAGCATTCTTGGGTTGAATTATCATAAAAAGTTCCGGGAGCACAGGAGACTATAATATTAAAAAAAAGGAATGATATTGTAAATTTTTAATCATACGCAGTCGTGGCAAAAATGATAGTGGCTGCTTATATCCTCAACTTTGTGTACTTTTCAATATACATTGTAAAATTGAAAGTGTTCTAAATTGTACTTTAATACTTTAAAGATAAAAAAAATATATTAAAACAAAAACAAAAAATTGGTTTTTATATTTTAACCTAATGTTTTTTGTTTTGTTTTTCTATCTCAATTGAAAAAATTTTTTTTACTTGAATAACTATTTTATTTTTTAGCAAATTCTATTTTTTTAAACAAACATGTTAAAATAAATCCCGTGTCAAATGTTTTATGAATCGTGAAAAAAAATATTTTGACACTACTTGATGTGGATAATAATAAATGAAACCCTCTTTTAATCAATAAGTTTTTGAACAATATATATCAAATGCTTGAAAGCATTTATTATTTGCACAAACAGAATAATATAACTAATAATAAATATTTAAATTGATTTAGTCCACTTGGAAATGTCTGAACAGTAAGGAATGATAAAGTGTGTTTAGGTTTAGACTAATCATTATTTTTTCATTCATAAGTGTTATACACTAATTATTAGGTAAATTGTTACTGGTATTGAGCTTTACAGGAATTTCAAAATAAGCGAATTGATTAAGCACTTTACATTTAGGATATTTTATAACATAAAATATTATTCAATATAGCGTAAATTTTTATTAAATTATGTGTATCGTAAATGTTATACAGTAATTATTAGGTTAATTCTTACTGTTAATGTGGTCTTTACAGGTATTTCAAAATAAGTGAATTAATTAAGCACTTTACCGCATATATTATCATTGAGAACTGATCCTGGTTTACATTCGAAAAATGTTTTATCATCTGTGAGAACTAATTTTCCAGTAAGACTCATGTTCTGGTTAGATTCATAAAGATTCGAAACCGGATCAATAGTTGTTGTTTGAAAATTCAAATCTTCACTCAATTCCCAATTAAGTTTCTGAATTGTCTCCAAAAAGTTTTGAAGTACAGCCTCAGTATCGTTTAGCTGCAAAATTATAAAGGTTCATCAGTTGTGTGTCCATCTATAATAATAAAGAGTTTTTACTCAAAAAATTATAGAAGAATAAGGAACATAGCATTACTGTTTGAAAGGAAAAAAAACTGAAATTATCTTATCAAGATTATTATTTATTTTAATTATTTTTTCTAGATTATTCTTTCCTTTTTTTGATTAGGATGGTAGTAAAAGTTTGATGCCAAATTAAATGAAACATAAAAATTAAAATATAGTATTTTGTAATCAGCAACTGAGAGATTTTGCATAGCGTTTCCGTTTCCCGTATAAACATTAACGCTTTTTAAACTTCACGGCACATGCGCGATAGCTTCTCTACAAATCCCAGTATCGCTGAAAGATTATATTCTCACTGTCTTCGTTTTTTTCGCATGCGAGTAAGAACCAGATTGGTAGGACATATTTACCACAAAAAGCACGGCAATCAGGTTCTCATTCGTAAGTAACAGGTAGTAAAAATTGAAAAGGTATAAAATTAGGTTTGCGTTAAGGTGCTTGTCTGATGTATTTCTCATTATATTATATAGTTTTCTTCCAACGTTTGACAGGTTTTTAAATTTTTGCTATGTAGAAACTGCGTAATTTCATTTCCAAGAAAAAATGTTCTCTTTTTTTTCACTTAGGAAATTGTTTTGTAAGTAAAATAATGTTATTGAAAGCGGATCACATCGATGCAAGGTCAGTAAATGTATGGCAGGCTGTGAAGTATCTCCCATTTTAACTCTTTGTTTTTGCCGTTTTTCTCGAGGCAAGGGATGCGTTGTCATGGTAAAAATTGATGCCTTTAGATTGAATAAAGTAGAATGATTTGTTCGAGTTCAATATTTAGCTTATAATAATTTTCTTCATTATATTTGCTCTTTATATTTAATTTCCTCGGAAATTCACTAATCATATAATAATACTTTTATTAGAAGCAATTCACGAATTTTCCTATTACTGATTACTAGTAAGATTAATAATAAAAAAGATTGATATTTCCATAAAAATGTAGTTTTTGTTCCTTCTATTTAATAGTTTTTACATAGAACAAACATATTTTTTAAAGATTTTCTTTTTCCCCGCCGTTTCGGGGTTCTATTTTTCCATAAGGCATTCTTAAACATTATGGATTTACTTGAAACACTTGGATTCATTGAAACGGCTTTAATGGATTAAATTGTTCAGCGCTAGTAAAGTTCTTCTTACTGAGGAGATTTAACTGATCGAATTCAGCTTTGAGTGAAATGATTGAAGGCATCAACAGTTGTTTATGAAACAACACTAAGATTTTCGTATAAGCTTTTTGATCTAATCAGTGATATTGGTTTTAAATATTGTTTCTCAATATTTTAAGATATCTTAAGCACATAGCGTACCGTTTTTAAAAAGTTCTTAAAGATGTCTATTTTCGTTTTTTAAAAACCCTTAAAGGTGCTTTTTTATAGGGTGTTTTTAAAAAGTGCTTAATTTTTTCTTTTCGTAAATAGGATTTTTTTCTTTACACCATGTTTGTTTTCGCTGAAAAGCAAAAGCGTGCTTTTCAGATTATTCTATTCTTTATATCTTAAAAATAAACTCTTTGTTAATAAAGGGTAGTTTAGTCCAGTGGTTACAAACCAGGGAGGAATTGGAATTTCATAGTTTCAAGAAAGGGATGAGATCACTTTGATTATGCTTGCTTCTTGCTGCGAAACCCGCTGCATCTTGTGATTAATGGAACACTGTCTTGAATTTTCTAGTAAGGATTTAGTACGAAATTCATCAGAAACTATTTCCATTGGGAAAGCTTCGGATGTATGCAAAATTGATTTTTAAGCTACAGAAATGTTTGAAGAGAAATTAGTCTCAAAGTTTGATCTTTGAAGTGCAAATCATGTTGCAGATGTACTATCAGGACATTGCTTCCATTAGTCTCTATTTATCTCATCCAATTCAATTAAGTCCAAAGTATCGAATGTGAGTTGCTTTAAAAATTTTTGCGACTGTCGTGCTAGTTCTCTTCTTTTAAAAGGAACTTCAACTTTCACTTACCGTGACATAGATGGTATTAACATTATCTACTCAGCAGCTCACCACAGATGCACTCTATATCTTACACTGCGTTGTGATACAAATTTCTGCATTTCTTAATTAACTAAATGTCATTTTATTAATTGACTGTTTTGTAAATATTAAATGATTTTTTAAAATGCTAATTGGTATTAATTATTTATTCTTATTAGGTATTATAATTAATGCTGAATGTTCAGCACTACTACCCAAAAAAACTACCCATGCATCCAAAAATTGGTGAAGAAAAAACTTGATTTTTTCTATTTGTTCATTCACAAATGTGCGATTAACACTTAGTTATTAAAAATTAGTTTAACAGCAAATAGTTTGTAAGCATAAAAGAAATATTTCTATGTTGTTTACATTTTAAAACTTGTTACAAAAAAAAAAAAGTCAAAATCGTTTTTGTTCTTTAATGAACAAACTCTGAATTACATTTTACTAGTCAAGAAGGGCCTATCTTATTAGCGTGTGGTTGCTAATTAATTCACGTTGTCTGAGTAGTTAAGTTTGTTTTACTATGTCAACTCTGTTGTTTTTAAGCTATCCTTTTTTATTGGTCATTACATATTACAGTTATAAAAAATTATTTTTTAGTTCAGCTTACTATGCATTTATTAAAGATTCATACCCTAACAAGCAATAAAGATTTAGCCCGATAAATAGTTATGTTTCATTTCGATAACTTCTGCTCTTAGGGTAAAACCAGGTACTACTCGGTCCGGAACCCACTTCGTTGATATGCGTCTATGCTGGACTCACGAAAGCTGTAGTGCAGTGGAGAAAGAAGAAAACTGCATCTGAAAGGTTGAACAGAGGTTTTATGGGCCCCAGGAGAAAATTTATTGTCGACCCAATCTTCTAAGTACAAAAGCAGGTCAGCTAAGTAAGCCTTATTATCATATTTTGTAGAATTTTTGAAGGCCCTTTATACGAAATTGTAGTTTTTATATAGATATAAAGAAATTCTCAGCCATTTTCTTTTGAAAAGAAAAACGTTAACTAACACTCAGTGCTAGACGGATAATGGGTTAGAGTTCTCTTGCCGTCAGGCGAACCGGGGAAGGTTTTCGTGGTTTTCCTCTCCATGTAACGCAAATGCGGGTGAGCTCCATCAAAAAGTCCTCCACGACGGCGAATTTCTCCCAATACTTAATCCAGGAGACCCTTGTCTTCTGGATTGGGTTCGAAGTTTGAAGGCTACGGAGTTGAACATTACTAGTCGTGAACCCAAAATATTGGTCGACTGTTCAACGACGGTTATAAAAAAAAATTTTTTGTAAAAATTTTGATCTGGCCCCCAGACTGGTACGATTGTTCCTCCCTTTCCCCTACTCCCTTGACTACTTTACGTGTAAATTACATGCATAATTCTTTTTTAAAATTAACATATAAAATAGAAATGTCTGCTACTTTTTCTCTGGAATTCTAGTATTTCTAATTGTCCTTTAGAGTTAACATGTTACCCTACTATTGCAGAGAGGCCAACTTGCTCCGGACAGCAAATATATATTTTAGAGTGGTAGTTTATTAATTGTGATTCTTGGTTTAATAAATTCAATTTAGTAGATTTTTATACACCACTATTTCAAAATAATTCCCTGGCTTATATAATTCACCACTTTATAGTACTTATGTTATGCTATACCTTTTAAAAAGCAAGCAAAAACAGTCAAATATTTGCAAAATTTACTTTGTAGTTATTTACCGCTTTTTAATTATTTTGGCGTGTCCGGAGCAGTTGGCATCTCTGCTATTGGGATGAAACCATGTAGTTTGACTTTTTCAAGGAAAAAAAATCCTGTATACAAAAAAGTAATATATTATGACTTTTCGCGAGTACCATATTGCATACAAATAAACAATAAATATCTTAATTAAATCAGACAATTTCTAGTTCGAATTGTTTATCCCCAACAGGCAGTCGAATCTTAGCATCCAGGTATTACCCCACCTTCCACTATATGGATTTTGAATTGACTGGAGTGAGACGAAATAGGTTGAGAACCACTTGTTTAGTCAATCATTTAATATCTGATTGTGTTTTTGTAGACACTTAATTTTTCGAGACACCAAGTTTGGAAGGTTTTTCTCTGGAATAGCGGATATAATGATTTTAAAATGCATTAAGAGACAAGTAGAGGTGAATTTAAATTTTTCGCGAACCACCACTTGTCGCAGAATATCCATCCCCTTTATGGTATATTTGACAAAAATCTTACTTCGTGATCAACATTGATAGTAATTTCAAACTCTAGCTCCAGCTCTTCTTTCTCTGCATACTCCCATACGTCTCTTTTATGTCTTCGTGGCGAGGAAATCATCTCTTTTCCACACTGAACTTTAACTGTTTTGAAGGAGCAGGTCCCTTTATCTACACACAATTCAGCTTCTTTAAGTGTTTGTAGATGGTTCATGAACATCTTTTTTATGTCTCTCTGAACATGTTCATTATTACAACTTCCATGGTAATAAAAACCTGACAACATCAATTTCACTTTTGTCGGAATCGTTTGACCTGTAAAGAGAGTCGTATTGTATTGCAAGGAAAAATTGCTAGAGAAACTTTTTTAAATTACTATTCACTAGTAATAAAAAACATTCAAAATTAAAGTAAAAACTTAAAAAATTTTAATAAAATTATTTTTCTGTAACAAAATTATAAATAAAGTTTTAAGCTGTTATACACACAAGTGTAAAAATATGACTCTATATATTTTATTACCACCGCTAAACAGCCAAAATACAAAGCGGAAGAGCAATTTTTAGTGTTTTTGACTAAAGTCAAAACACTAATATTTGCTCATAGTGATTATGAGCAACTTTAGTGTGACTTTTGAAAAAGAAACTCAAGTTAAACTGATCCCCGTGAGGCACTTTCAATTCTATGCATTTTTAATATGTAATTAATGAGCTCGAACAATTGTACAAGTCTTGCCTTCAGCTTGAGTTATTGGTAATATGTGTATAATAATAATAATAATAAATATATAAAAGAAATCACAAAAAAAATTAATCTTATAATGAAGAAAAACAAGTTTTAATTACCTATGTATAAAAAGTTTCTTGAAAATTCATTAATTCTAATACATTTTGTAAAGACATTTAATATAAGAAAAACGGGGTAAGATGTAATCATAGCATAAAATGAATCTTTTCCTCTAAGTTAGAATATAACTTAGAGGAAAAGATTTTGTAAACATTTATTAACATTGTGTTTTTGATTAAATTTACTGCAAAAATAATAATTTTGTAAAAAATGTATTTTTATAAGAATATATATGTATTATAAATAATTATATAAAATGTATAATGATATATGCATAATAATATATTTTATATGTTTTTATAAGAAATCGAAAAACAATGTTCTTTTAATGAGGCAGAACAAGTTTAAATTTATGCATTTTTAAGGTTTTACGCTTCATAAGTTACCTTTTCACTTTAAAATAAAATTTCTGTAAAAATAATCAATGAATTTACACTAGTTGGAAACCTGTGCTGTGGCTTATTAATACTAGAAAATTATTAGAATTTTCTAGTATTACAGTAATTAGAATTTATATAAAAGAAATACACTGAAATCATGCATCAGAAAATTTATTTTTACATAGTTAGGATACTTTTTATCCTTGAAAAGAGCTGTAAAGCAAGATACAGTTATCTCAGATAATACTTACGAGCACAATCGGGCCAGGGGACTGGATAATTATTAGGTATTGTTTGCCACTGTGCTTTGGAATTGCAGATGTACCATTTGGCTGGCTTCTCGGTAAACTCATGTTTCGAGTTGCAATATGTTTGACACATTTTCCCATGCAACCAATCATTGCATGTAAATGCTCCATTTGCAGGAGGTGGATAATATGGACAAGTTACTCCTGAAGTAAAAAAAAGAGAGAGATTTGAAAAATATACTTTTAAATTAAAATATGTTATAAATATTAAATATGCGTTCACAAGTTTCGATTGCTCTATTTATAATAATAAACTCGTTTTCGTGTATGCAAGAGGGAAGTCTTGAGAACGTGATTTTGACACTTTCCCATTAGTTAAGGTATTCAAATTTAAACTGGAGTTATTCTTGAAGGCAAAGCAAGTTTCATTTGCTTCCTGACAGCTGTAAGCAAAGTTTATTGCAAATCAATCTTTCGAACAGCTTTTGATATATTCTTTTTAAATTAGTAGAATCAAAAAAGTGATCACTATCTGGAGAAGATTTTGGCATCAGTAACTACCGCAAAAAATCGGCATTTTTCTTTGACACCCGGCCAGTGACCTATGAAAATTTCTATACCCGATAAATCGACACCACTTAGAAGAGAGTACCATAAACGAAAAATCGGATACTTTAGTAGTCCGAACGTTGTTGTGTCTTTCTAATAATCCCCACTGCGCAGTATAGTAGTTTGGAAGTTGAAACTCTTATTTATTCGAGCTGCACATTTGAAAATTAGGGGGAAGGAACTGCTTATACCCATGTCTCCCAAAAATGATGATTGAATCACCATATATTGCATCTTAAGGATGAATTCCCATGCTCTCATGGCAGATCTTGTCATGCAAATCGTAATTCGACATTTCAGGCCGTAGTGGCTTAAGGAATAGAGCACTTGCCTACCACTGAGGTGACCCGGGTTCAAATCCCAGCGATGAGTGGTCGATACGAATACCGCACCCAGTTCGCACCGAGCACAGTGCTAACGTAAAAATATCCTCAGTGGTAGATTGATCAGGGTTTAGAGTGAGGATAACCATTGTGGGCTCTCCTCTCCATGTAATGCGGGTTGGTTCCTTCAAAAAGTTCTCAAAGGCAAATTTCTCTCAATATTTGAGATTCAAGAGTTCCTTTGTCTTGTGGATTGGGTTCAAAATTACAAGGCTACGGAGTTGAACATTGGTAGTCGTAAACTCAAAATGTGGTCGGCTGTTCAATGACGGTTATAAAATAAAAATAATAAAATTCCACACTTTGTATCTGCGAAGCATTCTAATACTTGGTATTTATAACAGTCTCTTTGTCGAATTTTGTACCGAACTTGATCACCCAATATTGATCAAATGCATCTACCGGAACGTGGTCAGGGACGCAAATAGTGCCATTTGACACTTCGTCTCTGGTTCGTATTCAAGTGCCATGTATCCATAACCTCTCTTTTGTCGAATTTTATTTGCAACTTTTTTTGAGTTTTGAATCGAGCTTGATCGCCCGATATTGATCAAAAGAATCTGCCATGGTTTGTCGGAACGCAGTCTCAAAATAGTGAAGCACTAAATCAGAGATTCTGACTTCACCGACATCCGAAGTAGACTAAATCTAAATGCACTATGAAGCTGTGAGTTTCGCTTACTGAAGCCCAATTCATCTGAATACGTAGTGCTTAATAGAATCAAAATAAAGTAAAATATTATGACTTTTGAATCACATTTTTTCCGATAGCATGTAATATATTACTGAGAAAGGTTTCATTGAATGCTAGATTTATTTGTTTTCATTACAATTATAGTATATTCATTAAATAAAAGAAGCTCTTACTTTTAAAAATGCTGCTGATTATCATTAAATTAATCAAAATCTTGAATATTTGATTTATGAAATGATAAATGGCATTTAATATTTTTTTTGGCTGACTAATGTTTAATTTTTCAAGCAGACCATCTGCAGTTATTATTTTCCGGAATTTTTTAAAAAGTATTAACGGTAAAGATACTTACGTTTGACCAATATATTAAAAACACACGACTCTTCATTCTGGTTTTCATCAACGGCCTTATAAGAAACAGTATGCGTTCCAATGCTGAATGTTTGACCAGAGTAGGCAGTCTAAAAATTGAAAATAAGAAATTTTTTTTCTTAAATTTTAATTTTTTAAAGATATTGTTTTTATTATTTTTTATCGATTCTGAAATTCTCTCTATCTTTAATGTGTATGAAATTTAACTATTGTGTGAGATGAAACCCTCTACCAAGAAAGAGCTTTGTTTATTTCCTGCGCCTGAGAATAAACTAAACGGAAAGCTAAGAGTCATCTAACATCGTTATTAAATTCTTATTAAAGTGTTAACTCATATGTGTTAACCCACTCAGTGTTAACCCAATGAGTAAAAAATAATTGCATATCTTTTTTAATTTCTTAGCCTTGAATCTAGAACACAAGAGAATGCCTGCTTAAAAAACCAGGTCACATTTTCCTTTGAGTAGAATTCTTTTATGCGAAACTATCAGCATTTAAACAAAATGGCGGGAGAAACCTCCCATAGTTTGCCCGATGCAAAAGGAGCTCTGATCTATCTTTTCCGAAGTATCATTTACATTAGCAATCCAATCTCTGCGGGTAGAGCAGAATAAAATTTAACCATCTATCTCTGTGATTCGTTCAGATTTAAACTTATCTGTCTCAGTTGAGCTCTTTCGATTTTTTTTTGAAAAAGTTACCATTAGTTTTGTCAAATATGTAAGATGTACGCTTAACATCTCTAATTTAACTTATCATATTTTGAGTATGCGCACTATCTTGAAAATTGCATGTTATTTCATGTTATTTTCAATAAAAAACAGTAATCCGCGAAAAGAAAATTTTTTTGTAATTAAGTATTGCTGATATTATGAATGCTAATTGAACCTTTCATGTCAGTAAGCTTTCCTCGAGAAATCTTAAGTTTGTTTTAAAAATGTTATTTACCATTTAGTCGAAAATTCGTGAGATACACTGCATGGAAAATCTATGCTGATAGGTTTTGTATTTTAAATATTTATCAAAATCTGAAATTAGATTATTATTCTAGCATTCAAGATGAATATATTTTTACTTCCGTAATTTTTTTTACACTCAATGTTATTTTAAGGAAGTTAATTTAATTTCCCGTTAAGCTCAGGTATTAAAATAATTTTATAATTGTAGTATAGGTAGCATAACAAAATACGTAGCACTCTTTTTAATGATGGTATTCATATTGAATAAAAATATGAAACAAGTTAACGCAAAAAAAAAAAAAAATCACGTTAAAAGAATTGTTTACATACACCATTGTTTCAACAGGGTGTAAGCTTGTTTTGATGAACCAAAAATGAAAGCTAATTATTTTCAGAAGATGTTTCGAATGATATTTCGTAATAAATATTTTCAGAATCCATGTTGAAAATGAAATTATAAGTATACACATTTGGGGTAGCGAAGTGATATTCAAGCGCAGGAAACAAGAATGTTATTGGAATCTAAATAATCACCAGATTCTTTAAAAAAATTTCAAACGTATTTCTTTGACTGGTGAAACTTAGTTTTTTTTTAGGTCTTAATATTTTCATGCCCACCTTCCTCTGCAATGATTTGTTAAATGCCAATAGCATTTATATCTTCATTTTGCTTAAATATGATTTGTAAATCCAGAATGCAAATGTTTTTCGACTTGATTTTTTTTAAAATGCAGTATTGCTGAGCACCTTGCGTACTTTTAAATTGTGATATAAATAATAATTTGATTTAATAACCTGTGTAATCTTCAACGGTTTTCCACTATTGTCTTCAAACCATGGTTTTTTCCATGTAACGATTTCTTTATAACTATTTGTAGATATTTCAATATCTCGTGGACACATCATTACAGTTGGCGGTTCGTCATCTGAAATATATTATGTATGTAAATTTCTATTTCATGCTACTATTTTTTTCATCGATAGAAATCATATTTTTCACATTAACGCATAAACTTTTAAATAATAATCATTCAAATAATCAACAGTTTAAGTTTTCCGAAATCCTTTTATCAGGAATGTATTTGCAACTACTGAATTCCTTTACGTAGAATCACAAAGACCCTTGACCACTAAAGTGTTTACAAATAAATTTAATAGTGGTATAATTTTTGTACTACATCGCAGAGCCTTTTTCTAAAAAAATTGTTTTTAAATTCTTAACATAAATTTTAAAAAATACAACTATTTTTTTTTTTTAAATTGTCTTCCTCTGTTGACACAGCATATCAATTTTTTGAAATTTTCCTTTTGATCAGGAATGCATTCGGAACTAGTGCAGTTATTATTTTTAATAATATTTACAAAATGTAATTTGAAGAAAAATTGTAGCTTGGAGAAAGAAACCGAATGCGGATTTGAAATGAATACGAAAATATCTAAGATTTGTAAGGAAAAATCCTGCAACAAGAAAAAAAAATCTCATAAATGTTCTATTCAGTCGATTATTTGCTTTTTTTTAATAATTTATGAATATTTATTTATAAATAAATATTTATTAAAAACTTTCATATTTCATATTCTTTTTCATATAGCATTAAATTCATATTGCATTGCGAATCAAGAACTATAAATATGTAATTTTTAGATAAAAATATTTTAGATTTGTTGCCAGTTTGTCTTACATTGATAAACAATTCAATAAAAATTATAATTGCGAATCTTATAATTACAAATTTACATAAATTCTAAACTTAAATGATTCAACAGGATTGTTATTAGACAGTTTCAGTTTTTCTAAATCCTTAATTACTCATTTCGAATATCAAACACTAAATCAGCATTTGTCTTTTTATGTTTTTTTTTTTTATAAATTATTAAGTACCAAATTCACCGTATTGAGCTAATCATTCTTGAATGCTATAGTGTATAAAAAAAATCATATTTTCTTAAGTATTTTTTCGAAAGTTAAGAATCACTATTAAATCTTTCTTAATGAATCGAGTTTCTATGAGTTTAGTGATTGTTGTGGATGCAGATTCATCACGTTGAGAATAATAATTTTTGAAAGCTGCATTCTATTAAAACTTGTCATCTTCTTTCCGGTTTTTAAGAAAAGTGACAAATTACTATCCCAGTTTATTTTCTTTTGTTGTCATTTTTTTTAATGATTTCTAAGTACTGAATTTTTCTTAATTATTTATAATGCTACAAAAAAAAAACTCAACTATCAATACATAGATTCAGTTAAATTTCTTTGGGAACTTTTTTTCGTATATCATATGAGATGCTGAATCAGTATTTGTATTTTTATGAGTTTTGCTAAGTATAGTCTATCGTAACGATAGAAATTCAAAGTTTCGTGACAATATATCCTAAAAACTAAATTTTATAATAAATCCGTTTCGAAATGAACGGATTGTTAAGACACGGTGCCCAGTAGATAACTCGTGAAACATCACTGCCTGCGGCCAATGTGCGGATGGGTAACCACTTTGACCAGCCTACGAATGGACCGAGCGTACGCGGTATTGGTCCTCGTTAAGGCTGTTTTTCTATTTTATTACTGTATACTATTTTTATTACTGCTGTGAGTTTGCCATGACTATTAGGTCGAGTTTACCCTATCTAAAGCCAGCACTGTCTACGCTTATTTTGAAAATGGCACAAAACGCCAATATGGAGAAAAGACACAGTTTTGTGAAAATGAAAAGTGTTTGTGTGAATGTTGTTTTCTGAAAATAAAAAGTGTTATAATTTTTTAATATTTAAAAACACTCCAATGCTGCATTACCTGGGCTCATAAAAATTTGCAAAAACTAAGAATCCGGCACTGATTTTGATAATTTTCCTCAAGGTGAAAAAATGTCGACAAATTGGCAGTTTATAAAAAAGTATAGTAACTTTTAAAATATTTAAGTATTTTGTCTGTTTTAAAAGCCAGATAATTCTTCAAGGCAAGATTATATGTATAATTTAAAACCATCGGATTGCTTTAACTGCAAGGCATTGAAACTATAGCGTTTTTTTTCCCTCGGTGACAAAGCTTCGGAAAATAGCGTAAAGCGCTTGATTTTCCACGCAAGTCGTTGGGCTACCAAAAATGAAGAACCATCCTCTTTGGAGATGATCAAAATTCTGATTGCATGTCTTCGGATCATCCTCAAGGATTATTTCCCAGATCATCGCCAATACCCCACTAATGCTTCGTGAATAAACTAAACAATCTACCACACGTCTGGCTATCAAAGTTGGTGAGCCATTCCCTTTGGAAAGGATCAAAATTATGATCGTATGTCTTCGGATCATCCTCAGTGATGTTTACTGGATCATCCTCATGAATATTTCCTAGATAATCACCGGCCCACCAATGAGACGTGAATAAACTACTTCTACTATAAAAAACTATTAAACTGCGGGCTACCAAAGCTGGCGAGCCATCTCCTTAGGGGAGGATCAAAATTGTGATTGCATGTCTTCGGATCATCTTCAAAGATGTTTCCCCGATCTTCGCCAATGAAATTCACGTTTTCTTTCCGCGCTTTACCAGAAGTGATGAGTCAATAATTAACCTCCCTTTAATTTGGTCTGTGATTTTTTTCCTTATTAAAAAAAAACTTTAAATTGCTCTAAAACTTCTTACCTGTCACTACTATTTTCATGTCACAATGTGACTCTAATCCGGATGTATCAACTGCTGTATATTTTATAGTATGTGCACCGATGTTAAAGTAAGATGGAGAGGTGATGCCATAAGGTGTCGTATAGAGTTTTGGTGGAAAGCCACTATTATCTGTCGGGTAATGTATTTTCCAAGATACGGTAGTGCCGTTTCTTCCTTTCGAAGCGCTTACCCACACTGGTGCAGAACACGGAAAGTCCGGAGGTGTTACATCTAAATAGAGAGAGAGAAAAGTTAACTCAGAAGATTGCTAATCTGTAGAGTGTACAGTACTTCCCCAGAAAAATTGATGCGTCATTGAACCATAATATCGGTGTCGAGTAAATTTTCTGATTCTTTAATAAGGTGGGACACAGAAACAAATTGTGTTTTAAATTGAACTACAGGATCGCGTCAGAAAATTTAATACGAATTAATTTACACCATACTACAGCTCAATGTGACAGTGTATTTAAGTTGCAGCAAATTCGAACAATATTGTGGTTTAAAATTCTCCAATACTCTAAAACAGTGGTTTCCAATTTTTTTTCTATTGCAGAGCCCTAAATAATCAAGCTTCTTCTTGCAGAACCATGACTTTATAATTAATGTAAATAAAGACAATAGTGTACACATTAATCATTAAAAGATTACTTTATTTTGACTTTTGGACTTTTTATACTTGATAAGATGAGTGATTTTTTTTATTGATTGTTTTTTCATTAATAGTCTTAAATTAGGTTTTGTGTTCGAAAGTTGAATTCGAAATCTTGGGGATGAATTTAGTTTAGCTAAAAGTTTGATATTGCTATAAAAAGAACTGTTATAAGCATTGAAAACTGGAAAGCGAAATGTAAAATATCATTGCAATTTTTTTTTATAAATGCATGTCCTTTTCCTTGTTCTAAGATAAATTCTATATATATTTTTGAAAAATTTCATTACTCCTTCTTTGGCATGTTATTTTAAAAATAATTTTATACAGGCAATCGAAATAATAAGTATTTAATGGATTATTGACTGTCTCTAAATATAATTACAGATTTCAAAAATGTTCAAAAAACTGTTTTAAAAAAGTCTTTTCTTTTGGAACCCCTTTAACTCTTCCACGGAACCTTAGGGTTCCACTGAACACCATTTGGGTACTGCTGCTCTAAAGAGTCTATGCATAGCTTTTCCTTATAATCTTTTCATTACTTGAAAAAGCGAAAAATTAATGATTGTAAGAATGATTAGAATGACTAAAAGGTTTAAGAATAGTAATATTAAAAAAGGCAACGCAATAACAATTTTTTACTTACGAACATTAGTAATTATTTAAAACTTTTAAAAATAATAATATTATAAAGAGATAACGTTATCAACATTTTTCTCCTTCATCTCTTTTTCAAAGGTTACAGTTTTACACTGATCATTAATATTATTTCTGGTCTCTTATTTAGTTTGAAGTACAATGCACAAAATCATTTAAATATCTACGCTAAAATTGTGTTTTTCATCAGAAAATTTTTCTGGAGAATTTGAAAATATGATTTGTCCTTATTTTGCTCCAGGCCATTTCAAGTAATGAAAAGCTTACATCGTAGAATTTCCATTTGAATTAATATTGCATACGTACCGACGCAGATTGGTTTACTTTCTTTTTTATATCCATCCAATAATTTGCCATTTTCACGGCATGTCAGGTAATAAGTGCCTTTCAATTCAAAGCCACTATTACATTGGTACAAACAGGTTTGAAATAACTCTGGCTTCTTTTGATAATCACAGTTAATGATTCTGCCATGTGCAAGTGGTGGTGGAGTATTGCATGTTATAGCTAGAAGAACAAAATAGGCATAGAATGATTGAACAGTGCACTGTAAATGAAAAAAAAAACTATATTTTAATTTTTTTGTACAAAAATCAATATTTGAATTATTATTAATGGTCCATAATTATCAATGATCCAATAATTATTATTGGTTCGTGATTGGACCATTATTATCAAAGGTCCAATTACTATAAATCTAAAGGACAAGAAATCAGAACTCCAGAAAAAAATCATAAAAAGCATAATTTAATGGAGGTGGGGTAGAGATAATATTATTGATAGGGAATGCTAACTGAGATGACTTTCAGCAACTTCCTAAGTATGCTGTTGAAACGGATTACCTTGAATAACTTTTGATTCAATAATCAGATCTTCACGTTCTAGGATTCATTCTTAATGGTTCAAGATGATGTCTTCAAATATGCTGATTAATTAGCGCAGACAAAATTTTAAGTTACGAAATAAAACACAAAAACGTACTTTCTCTGAATAAACATATCTTTTTTTCGAGCGATTCTGATTTTTGACCCCCAAAATAATAAGGGTAGCAGCAATCTGGGAAATATGGTCCATATAATTTAGTCAGAAAAGGAATTCAAAGTTCGGACCACTTTTTGTTAATAATTTTACATTTTGCGTATTTTGCCATATTTAAGGACCTTTCTAAGCAAATCGAAAATTTTTGCTCACAAATACATGATTTGTTCATCTGAAAATAATTCTTTACAAAAAAAAACAACTTTTAATAAATATTTATTATCCTTTGTTATTTTATTTAACAATAGTCCAAAACATTTTGAATCATCATTTTAAAGTACATAATTTTACATGGCAAAATGTAAAATGTAAGCGAAATCGATCGAATAGATCCTGAGAAATCGAATTTTAAAGATATCGTATATTTGAAATTCGATTTCTCTGGAACTATTCTACCGATTCCGCCCAAATTTTGTATTCTGCCATGTACAATTAAGCAGAATAAAATTGCGTAAAAATTTATATACCTTACAAGTTTTTCCGACTATTAAGTTTTAAAATAACAAAAAAATGAATAATAAAATACTAAATTTTAAGTTATGCATATAATTATCTTTGGATAAACGAATTTTATAATAGTGAGCAAAACATTTTCTTTTCGAATACGGCGAAATACATAAAAAATAAAATTAACATTAAGTGGTCCAAACTTTAGATCGTTCTCCTGAAGAAAGTATGGGAACCATATTTCACAGATTTCAGCAACTCCTTATATTTTGGGGATCAGAAATCCGAATCCGTCTATCGAAACTTAAAATATCATCTGCACCAATGAATTAGCATATTAGAGGTCACCCCCATTAAGATTATGTCCTAGATTGTGAAGATCCGATCTTTAGGTCAAAAGTTATTCAGGGTGGTCCGTTTTTTTTTTGACGTACTGTACATACAAAACCTCGTGGACTCACTCCCTAACCGAATCAATGTAGTTATCAAGTACAGAATAAAGAGTTACATGGTAATAAATTATGCTTTTTTTCATGGATTCAGAACAATTTTCGGGCATGACTGACTCATGGTGACTTTCATGGGTGACTAGTTAGATGTTCGATGAACTTAGAAGCGAAAAGTTTAATGGAAAAAAAGGATACTGAAATAAAGTTATCTTGATTCGAACTTTTAAGACTGTAATGTTGTTATTCTCTGATAACTTACGTTGGCAGGTGGCAGCAGTGCCGGACCAATGTCGAGTCGGCAAACATTCCCTTGTTTCGGAACCATGAAGAGTAAAGCCAGCTAAGCAGTTGAACTTGCATTTCGTTCCCGCAGCCATGTTGGCATCAGCTTCGCAATATTTTCGGCCATATCGTGGTGCTGGTAGGGCAGGACATCGCACAACTGTAAGAGAGAAAATGTAAGGAGAATTAATCTGCATTTTCAAGTGAGAAAAAATCGAAAATATTAAACTATTTTAATATCACATGCTGAATTGAAAATTTACGTGCATTTAAGGAAAATATTCTCAGTATTCTGGTAGTCGTAGGATAGTGAGATAAACCTTGCAAGACGAGCTCTAGCTCTCTCTAATTTGTTATTCAAAGGCTGTTAATGATGCTTTGGGAGACGAAAAACTCGAAACTTTCTTTAGATTGCTGGACCAAGTTTGAGCTAGATTTGTGAGCAGTCAAACTAAACCAAAATTTTAAGACATCTTTAACAGCTGCGTATAACGATGTCTTATTATACTCAAGGGTCGTGGTAGCCCAGGAGTTAGAGTATCGGACTCCGGTCCAGAGGAACTGGAGTTCGATCCTCAACTCCACTAAGGCTAACCGAGTACAGGCGATGTTCTTTCTCACAAAATCTGTGGATTCAAAAGTCCTATGGTCGGTCACTGAGCAGTATGAATCTGGAGAAAATTTCCTTCCCCTTCAAATCTATGTCTGAATTGCAGAAATGGTCATCAAAAAAATTGTGATGGCATGTCTTCAGTGTCTCCGGATGAATTGCTGTTCTTGATAACATTCATATCTTAAAAGATTTTTTTTGCTTGATTTGTGTTTCTAAATTGTTAAGAAAATTTGGTTTTAGCTGCTTTTAGAACTTTTACATTTTGACGTATTATTCTAAATCTTTTTTTGCTTTTTTCTGAATTTGCATAAATCAGTTTCATTCTTTGATAATTTTTAATCTCAGTACCGCCCTTTGCAACTTCAAAATATAATTTATTATTAAAAGGCTGTTAATGATGCCTAAAATCTAATCTAAATATGGTTCAGCACATCGTACGTACAAAACAAAAATTTTTTCCACAAGAAAACATCTTAAAATTGCAGTAAAAATAATGCTCTTCATAACACCACAATATGAATTAAGGCAATTTCTTAAATGTGATTTCTTTTATACTTTCGTTGCCGAAAAAAAATTAGAACAAGTTTTTTAATGTCAAAGTAATGTGACATTGATGTAAACATGTTCCTTCAAATAAACATTTAAGTAATGAGTAAACCTGCATACAGGTGGTTACATTCAGTTTCAAGGTTGAACCGGAATGTTCAACCTTAAACATGTGGCGAATACTTAATATTTTGCCGTGACTAATCACACCAGTTCTATGTTAACACTTGCGCAGTCGGGAACTAGCTGACGACATAGCAAGTGAAGAAAAAGGAGTTCGATAAATAAAAAATAATTTTTTAAAATTGAGAAATAGAATTGAAAATTTATATTAAGTCTGCACAAACTACACACTGGTAACTACAGATAGTAGAAATGAGCATATTCCTACCGAAATGTTTTTTGTTGAATTAAGTATGAGTACCATTGCCCGGTATATCCTACACTACACTAAGGTTAAGTGCCACTGCCCGGTGCACCCGTCTACTATCCATTCTACTCTGCCCGGTATACCGTATAAAAAAGTAATATTTTATATAAATGGCAGCAGCACCTGCAATCAGTTAAGCTTTTCAAATTCAAGATTTGGTTTTTCTATTGTGCGCAACCATGGGTGATGCGATAGTTTGTTAAGAATTTTAACACTGGTGGTGTGACTTAAAGTTATGGGTTTGTGATAAACGTAATATTTTTATGGAAACGAAAATTTCTTACTGTTTTCCAAGAGTCAAAAAATGTCATTCAGTTAGAATTAATTGGTATTTCTAAGAGGAGATGAACTGTAGCTACTAAAAAATTATTTTTATAGTGATATATGTATTTTATTTAAATAATGAATACTGTAATAACGGAATCGGGATCCATAAACCTAATTGCAGAAGTGAAAAGTTCTTATTTAAAATAGCTTTAATTTGTGTATATCAAAAATTGATACTTACTGCCGCAAGTGGACATTTTTCCAGACCATGTGCCATCCTTTTGGCAAACTCTAATGTCTTCCATTTTATTCAGAAGCTCATAACCATCTTCACACATAAAATGGCACTCTGATCCGTATGTTTTTTCGCAGATTCCCAAAATGAATCCATGTGTCGGGGGCTGAAGTGGGGGGCATGTGACCTCTGCAAAAAGTTTTAAAGTACTTAATTAAAACCATTAGAATGATACGGAATGGAAGCTTATTTTTTACTTTCATATAAATCGGCAGTATAACTACATATAAGAATATTTTCCTAGCTTCAATTTCGCAGAAACGCATTATTATAAGTCATGGCAAAATTAGTAACTTTAAATAACATGTTTTAATATTTCAATGCTAAATTTTATGCTGAATTATGAAGTTGCAATTCGAATATAATTTCTACGTACATAATAGCATTGAAAAAAAACTCTAGCTTAGTTTTCTTTGTAAATGATGATAAGTTTCACAATTTCAAATAACTAATATTTGGATGCATTCTTTTCACGTATTGTGTATTGATGTAAGTCAGTGAATCTACAAACGTATTAGCTATAATTACAAATTGTAATTAAATGCAAATTCTAATTTATTTCTTAACTTTGACATGAACATATTACGGTATTAGAATTTCAACGGTAACATTAAATGGGTTTCTTAAATGAAAAATGAAATCAAGTGATTGCGTCAGGAATATGGTAGCGATGGCGACGCCATCATCCAGGGTTATAAACAAAACAAAAAGAGATGTGCATTGCAGATTTAATACAACCGATTTATCAATTCACATGCGAGCATTTAAAGTGAATGGGAAGTCCTAAAAGATGGACAGAGTAGAACAATGTGCATTTGCACAATTTTTGGTGTCAGAAAGTGACCCTAACTCCATTTTGTTATCAAAATGATGGTTTTTGAAGATTAACAGTGTCTAGAACAAACGGATGCGAAGTAAAGTTGATTTAGGACACAAAAGAGGGAAGAGGTAAAAAGTTTTAAAAGAGGACATTATCGGATCTTTAACGAGAGCAAGCAAGCGCAGTGATCTCCAATGAATCCATTGATGCTGAAAATAATATGAATTTAAATAATCGAAAAGTTATGAATCGTATCTAAATGTTAAGCACTCTATCTGATTGAAGAACACATGAGGCGTATGTTTAGCACTCCATCCAGTTGAAGGACACATGTCATGAATGTTTAGTACTCAACCTGAGTATATGACACATGTGACATATTTAGCACCTAATTTGAGTGCAAAGACTTTTAGTGTATCTCCCGCTGCAAAAATGTAATTCCAAATCACTAGTATGTAAGACATGTTAACTCGATTCTATGGTGAGGTACCTTTTCATAGATAAATGTTGATTTTGTCGATTACTCACTCCCCACATTGGTGACCCGGACGTGATGTGAATACGCCTACCTTGGCAGAAACACCCACTACGATTTGAACCCGACTACTTCGATGGATGGTCCACATTGAACAGTTTACTTGCCTCTTGTAACTGCGACGTTATCCCCCTCCCCGTGCTGTTGCTACTCAGTTTCAATCACACACAGCGTACAACTTATTCACTCAACTGCAAATGGCAACACAGGAGCGACCACGTCAGTGAATTTAATATAGCTCTCACGAACAGCACTCAAAAAGTACGGTGATATTAATACAGCTCTCCCGGCTTCTCACAAAACAGAAATAAATCAACTGGGGGTATCCGTTCATAGAATTTTATCACAGATGTAATTCTGGTGAGGGAGTACAATAGTGTATCTACTCCTACAAAAATATAATTCCAATTCACTACTATATAAGACATGTTAACTCAATTCTATAGCAGGGTACCTTTTCATGGATGAAGGTTGACTTCGTCGATTACTCAGTCCCTACAGGTTTGCTTTTTTACTCTCCAGTGATTACACTCCTCTCTTTTGGGGCATATAATCGAATAGTTTTTTTCTGGTTACGTTATTGATTTAAAAATAATTGCGGCTGCTCAAGATGTATTTAGAACATTCGAAGGTAAAAAAATAACATAAATAAACTCTTAAATTCCGATTTAGTATTATCATTATTTGATAGTATGAATTAAAACTTATTTTATAAAAAAATTCAAAATGGAATCAAAATCAGAGTACATTAAAGGCGAACCAAAAATTAGTTTTAATTTTACTTTTGCAATCGATTCCATTGGCTGGATTTCCAGTATAGCCTTCCTTACAAACACAGTCTTTGATACTGGTACTTGCTAATTTCATCGTAGTAGAACTACCTGGACAAGGTGTACACGATCGAGTAGGCTCTAACTTTGATTTGTAAGTACTTACAGGACAAGCTGAAAAATGAAAAAATTCATATTTTTTATATGGAAAGCATAGAATATCATGTCGTAATAAATTCGAAAAAAAGAGCACAAAATTTATTACTAATGCAACCATTAGTTTATTTCATACATATGGAGAAAAGCGAAATGGTTGTTCGTGAATTTGATGTGGATTTTATGTTACTTCTTCAGCGAAAAAATATATGGAAATATACACTAAGACCAATTAGTATAACTTTTCCCGTTTTGATTTCTTATATAGATATTAAAAATTATTCTAAAAAGAGCAAGTTATTTATTTTCAAAAATACCAAAAAGCGGCAACAAGCTGAAGTTTATATGCACATAAAGGTAAACACATCATATCATGTTAAAGTGTGCATAATTGAGAGACACAATATGAATAAGTCGTAAATTTCTGTGAGTATAATTTTCATAATAAGGAAAATAATGATTATTTATTAACAACATATCGATAAATAATCAAGCACATGTGGTGTTTTTAAATTTTGCACAAAAAGTCATTCACTTCATCATTTTTCTTAATCACAACTTGCATTAAAACCACAAATTCTAATTAAAATATGTTATTTGTTTTATTGCCGTCCAAAAATATAGAAAAACTGCAAAGCACTGAACTTTGTAACAAATAAGATTTTAAGTACACGAGTAATTTCAAAGGCTATTCAAAAAATGTAGAAATAATGAAGTATAGGATTAATTAATATTTTGCTACAATCAACAATTCCTACAAATCCCATAAAATTAGCTCTGCGAAAAAAACAGTTAATTAGATTTTAAAAATTTAAATGGAGACTATCTCAGAGTCACAAATAACATTAACAGCATTGTTGGTTACAATAGGGAGGCAATACTATAAAAGGACTAAAACAAAGCAACTTTATCCATATTCCACCTACTGAATGAAAAAAATTTGTGTAGTACTTTAATTTTTTTTAGAATGGATGGGGTATAGTGTAAAAAGGATTAAACTGAAATTGAGAAGGACCTATGTCCTATTCCTAGCGGTTGGAAGTAAAATCGACCGGTTTACAATGCTGACTACATTATCGCCATCACTATTACACTGTAAAAGATTCCGGTAAAGAGTACTGCCACACAAGGTGCCGGTAAATCCGTTTTACCATAACATATTAAGGAGCAAAAAATCTGATATACCGTAATTTTTACAGTTAAATCTACCGTAAAATCACCGAGTCACTTTAATTAAATATTACTCTCGATAATATTTTACTGTAAAATTTATTTTGCAAAAGATTCACTCAAAGTGTCGGTGCTACAATTCCGAAACTATAGCTGGAATTTTTTACAGTGTAGTCTCAAATCTTCAAGCCACAACCATTTTGACCAGATGGCGAACTTTCAATTTTATCCATTATTTTCCGAATAAAAATGTCTTCAAATACTAAAAAAGCACCCAGAGAGAATATATTAAGTACCTTTGCATTCGCCCATTAAACCCGAAAGACCATAATAACCAGGTCCACAAACACATGTATGAATGCCGGATCGTAAGGCACATGAGCACACAGCTTCGTGGTCGCAGCAGCCAGGATCTATGGATTCACCTCTGTAGGGGCTATCACATAAATGGTCGCAGTTTGGCTTGTTCCCTCCGGACCATGACATTTCATGAGGATCTGAAATACAAAATACAAGAAATATTTTTTAAAACCACTTTCTTATGAGTTTTAGACTAAATATATCAATATTTATGCTTGATACTATAGCAATGACCTATATAAATATTGATATAGGTGGAGTCTTATGCGATGTATTTTACGTCAGTTTAAATCACTTCAAATTAAAATTTTAAACATAATATGCCTCTTAACTCAATATAATATACCTCTTTCTAAAACAAACAAAGTATTGTTAGTATCAAAAAACTATTAAACTAAATATTTATTTATTCCATGTGAAATCGAAATAAATAAAGAACCTAAATGGAAAATAAATGAAAATGGCCTGTATCTTACAAGCACACAAACAGATATCCTCAGTAAAAATAAATAATTGAAATAAAGTCACATTTTTAAAAACTCAGATTTTCGTATTTAAGGAAATGTTATGATCCTCTGAAAATCACTTTGTTTTCAATTTAATGAAGGAATCACTTTATTTTCTTCTTTTTCTGGAATTCTCATAAAATTCGAGAAAAACTGTATAAGTTATAAATGAAAGTTTAAAACTAATTTTGATCAAAGTAAAAAGAGAAAAAAACTTTTCAAGTATATCTGAATTTTTTTTTTTGAACGACTGCATTTGCATTAGCCCGGGATTTTCTTAGAAATATATGGCTTGCTTCTTGCCCCTGGTTCGTTCGTATTTCGTTGATGTCATACTACATATTTATTCGTGAATTTATTATCTATCTTTTTTTAAATTTATTTTTACCGTGAATTTTTATGACAAATATTGAATTGATAGTTAAAAATATTAGCTCATTGATTGCCTGCGCATTTTACTAAAATTTTTAAAAATTTTTTTTAGCAGCTCATGAAATCCTGTCATAAGTATCGTCACTCAAGGTGTCGATATTTTTCACCGTAAAATCCATTATTACAGTTAAATTTCACGGAACAAAAATCTGACATATCGTAATTTTTTACCTTAACAATTACCGTAAAATCGCTGAATCACTCTAATTAAATGAATATTACTTTTAAAATTGCTTTAAAAATGGATTTTATGGCAAAATAGATTTTACGGATGAATCATCCAAGGGATCCGTAGTTTTTACAGTAATTTAATCTTGAATTTTTAACAATTCATTTATTAAAAATATTTAGAGATATATGGAAAAAATTAAGATAACATTAAGATATCATTGGTCTCATTATTAAATTATTAATACTAATCTTTCGTTTTCCCTTAGGATAAAAAACCGAATTCATTGAATAAAATATATTATTATTATTCAAATAATAATAAATAATTAGTACGAAAAAAAAGTTTTTTTAATGTTTTCATATTTTTTATTACCTTTGTTGTTGTCGTCCCCATTATTGCAGAGAGGGTGCGATTGTTCTTGTTTTCTAGTGGCGCCATCTATGGCCATGAATTCTACTTCTGCCACACCCATGCGTCACACCCGTTTATAGGGCGGACCCATTCATTCCTCCACAGATCGTATTTTTTGACCTAAACTGGAGAATTTCCTTTATTTATTCCATTTATTTCAATTTTGATATCTTCGATGGGTCCCTCGAATCATGAAGATCGTCTATTAGTACACAAAAATCTCAGATTAAAGTTGTTTTTTTTTGTCGTATGCCTGTTTAGACAGTAGGGGTGTGATTGTTCCTGTTTTTCAGTGGCGCCATCTATGGCCACGAATTCGACTTCTGCCACGCCATTCACATAACCACAACCCGTTTATAGGGCGGGTCACATTCACACACAAAGGAGAAAGGACGTAGAACACACAGAGAGAGAAAGAAACATCCATGCCTTGCCCGGGATTTGTGATTCGAACCCAGGACCTTTCAGCTGCAAGGACAGTTTCCTGCCCCCTACACATGCCGGTCGGCAGATTAAAAGTTATTAGGGGTGTAAAGCGTGTGTTGCAATTTGAACTAGGTAATTTTTCAACATGTAAAGCAACAGTCTAGTACTGTAAAAATTAGCTTGCAGTTAAAATAAGCACAATTTACCTCTAAAAAGAAATATTACCTCCTCGAATTCTTCTCGCCAATCTCTTGAATTCTCTGAATCCAGAGCTGCTGAATACATGTTGTTTACTGCTTGCTAACAACTCGAGTTCAGACTCTAATGCTCTACCGATTCCGAAACAAAATATTTCTACTCCCGAGTTCTTAAGTCGTTGAGCATATGGAACAGGATCACCTCCTCTGGTAGCAAGACCATCACTAATTAAAACTAGAACCTAGGAAGAAAATATGAAGTTCTTTAAGTTTCAATTATTCTCGAATGAAATATTTCTTTAATGTAAGTTTTTTAATAGGATTTCCAACATTTTGTAGTTGTTTTAGTCAGTTGTATAAAAATTTGTACTAAAATATAGAGATCATAACACAATTTTTTGGCTTTAAATTCAAACGTTTATTTTTTTAAAGGGCATAAAAACATGGTACTATTTTATTCCTACAATAAAATACTTATAATTTTCCGTAACATTTAAAAGTTGACAAATGACATATTAAAAAAATAAAGATCTAGGCATTCTAGTAAAAATGATTTCTCCTTGAGTTTAAAGACATCTGTAAGGAACAGTTTTGCCCTCAATTGTGAAGCTTGAATGATGGGGCTATCACTCATTGTTAAGTAATCACTAATCACGAAATTATTGTTTTGCATGTGTGAGACAAATAATGTAGAAATAGCGAAGTATGTCAACATGGTAAAAAGCGTTGACAGATCTCAATTGCGCAGTCGCCTTGACCGTGACAGAGACCTTCACTCGAAACATGTTGTTAGAAGAAAAAATTGTAAACGAAAGGTGACAATGACTTACAAGCGTAAATATAAAACAATAATAGGAAAGGATAAAAAAAAATTATCATTAATTTTTTTTATGCTATGTAAAAATAACTGTAAATTTTACAGAAGCATATACTTTTAGCGAAAAAAAATGTCTAAAGAAAAATGTAGATTTTTTTCTGTTTTAAATCGTTATCCGCGAAATGTACAAAATTCCTGTATTTTTTTTCCCACTGACTTACTCTGTGTATTTAACGATTTAAAGCTGTTTTTATCTGTTAGTTATCCTAATCATAAACGGATTGAAACCGTTAATTCCAATTCTAGTATTTTCCTTTCAGTTTTGCTTATCGTACGATAACTTAACTAAACGGATTGGAACCGTTAGTTCGAATTCTAGTTTTTTCCTTTCAGTTTTGCTTATCGTACGATAACTTAACTAAACGGATTGGAACTGTTAGTTCAAATTCTAGTTTTTTCCTTTCAGTTTTGCTTATCGTACTATAACTTTACCTTTTTTTTAAAAATTATTTTGAGATTATTTTCCATGCTTGCTCTAACTTTTCAGCAATTTTTTTATGATTTTGAACATCGTTTAAATAAAATTGAGAATCAATTTTATCGGCAAAATAATACTTTACCGGATTATTATGTTATTTTATACATAAGTTTTTGGTAAATTAAGTGTTTTTGGTAAATTAAGTTGACAAACTGTTTATAAGGGTGGGTCACTAAATGTGCATATATTTTTGATGTACGTGTGAGTGTATATATGTTTTACAATTAAATACGATTTCAATAAGACTTTTCAGTTAAAGACAATTTAAGATTTTTTGTTATTATACAAACTAGAGATTCGGTAGCTCAGAAGATAGACCATTTTCTGTCCAATAAGGGGTCTTAGGTTCGAATCCCAGAGTGAACTGGGAGTTCGAATTCAGTTCTCCGTATTCGCACGAATTCTGTACTAGTCTACATCGACAACAATGTTGACATAATTATTTTATAAAGTTCCATAAAATATGTAGTAAATATGTTTTTCAGTTCTGCATTTTTTTTAAAAATGTGAAGCAATAAGAACTATATCTTTGAAAACCAGAACTTCCGGTAAACCGTTACCATATGACCATATTACTAATAATGACTGGTTTACATATGACTGGTTTAAATTCCGTATATTTAGGTTTTATCACCAGAATCATGTTTTCTTTTTTTTTAAATTTTTTTTAGCCAGAAATGTTATTGTCATACAGTACGGTAATTTTACCAGAAGTTTCTTTCTTCGTACAAATAACACTAACTCAGTATTATATCTTGTTTAGGAAATAATTAAAACAAAACAAGGTGCAAATCTTTCAAGTTTCTCTAAATACCATTTTACATTCTAATATTATAGAGCAATAATTTCTGAGATTTTCAACTAGAATAATAAGCATTGTAATGCAGAGTATTAAGCTTTTTCTGTTGTATTTAAACCTCGGAAAAATTGCATTAAATACAGAAATTTAAATATTTTGTCATAATTCTTTTTCCTTATCGGCAGATATGATATTTCTTTTTTATTTCACGTTTGTCATATTAATTTTGTAATGATGTCTTTTGTCTGGCTGGTCGGCGCAGTTGGTTTGTCGTCGGCCTTTTGAGCCCAAGTCTGCGGGTTCGATCCCCGGCCCAGACACCGGATTTTCGGGATGCAGAAAATTCTCAGCGGCCATGTCGTATGATTATGCGGCATGCAAAAGATCCCTGGAGTGCCTTATTGGCTCTTGGCATTTCCGGCAAAAATTAAATTCCTAGATCACTTTAGCATCCAAATAGAGTCTCGGTGTTGCCATCTAGTGTGGCAGAAACTAGACGTCCAAATTAACATGACCAACGGTATTTCACCCATTGTGGTGGTCCTGAAAAAGTGGATACCACCTCTGGAGAGCGCACTAGGTCTGCTCATGTGTGCGCACTTGTGCTGCTCATTAGAAATTTAAAAAAAAAAAAATTATGTGTTTTGTAATGATGTCTTTTATTATGTGACAAAGTGAAAGCCATGTTTAGAACAGTTCGGTACTCTAATACCAAAACGTGAGATCAATCAAATTTAAATTAAAATGTGATTGAAAATGGTGACGAAAAACTTGTATCACCTTCAGAGAAGTAAAATAATTATCGAGACAGACAATTCCATTTTCTTGATTATCTTAATGTGAAACAAAATAATTGATTAAAAAAACTTTAATTAAAAATACATAATTTTTCTGATTTTTCATTTCTTTAAATATTAAACTATAAATTTAAAATAATTTTTTCTCCAAAAAAAGTTGAGGAATAAATTTTAAAAGTTGAGGAAATAAAATTTTGAAAGTTGATTCAAAAAATTAAATTAAAAAAAAAAAAATTCAGCTTAAATTTTGATTGCTGAATTCATTTCAATGATACATTCATTATAAACCTTATTTGTGACCAAAAAATTTCAATTTTAAACATTTTGAAAAATATGTTAAGCAAGGGGTATTTTTTATGACTTGTAATTAAGTAATTGCATTAGCATAGAGAGCTTTTGAATGAAGCTACGGTTTTCCGCTAATGCTAACATAAACGCTTTTTGACTTTCACAGCGTATGTGCAAAAATTCACGTAAAAAATTAAGTATGCCTTGAAATACAGTTTTATGACATTTTTTAATAAAAATGCTAATAAAGAAAGTTAAATATGTATTGTTCACACAAAATGAAATTTCTAGCATAAATACATAAGAAAATAATAAAAAATATATATAATTCCTTTTTAAAATTTTAATAGTTCACTATACTCTTAAAGGAAATTTACCGTTGATTATACTAAAATATTGTAGAATGGAACATACAAGTGTCATTTACCTTGTTTATATTAGGGCGGGCATTTCTAAACACTTCATACGCTTCATCGAGAGCTGCAGCTATGTTGGTCGCACCACTGTCCTTGAATACTACATCCTGCATTTCTTGCGACAGGATGCATTTTGTCTTTGGAGATTGCAGATAGTCAATGTGTCTTTCTGCAATAGAAAAGGAAATTAAACTGATTTAGGTTTAATAATAAGTGCTTCCATGATAAGGAGACAGTAAATTTGAATTCAAACCAAGATAATAGACATCCTTCTGTTAGCTTCTTATATTAAAAATACATAGTTTCTCAATTAAATACAGTTTTTTTAATATAATTATCATTATTTTCTTATTTTATTCCATAACCGTCATTGAGCGACAGACCCAATATTGGGTTTGCGACTACTAATATTCTACTCGATAGTACGACTACTGTATGTTTAACTTGCAGATTTGAACCCAATGTGGATGACAAGGAAACTCCTGGATCAATTATTGGAGGAAATTTGCCTTCGTGGTAGAATTTTTTGATGGAACTAACCCGCAATTGCGTTACATGTTAAGGAAATCCTCGTACGGTTAGCCTGACGCAAGGAGAATCTCCCCTATGATCCGTCTACCACTGAGGATATTTTACTTCAGCACTGAGATCGATGCGAACCTGATGCAATATTCGTATTGACCAGCCATCCTTGGGATTTGAACCCAGTTCACCTTATTGAATCCCAATCGCTTTATCTTCTGAGTCACTATTACTCAAGTTTTTAAAATTATTGTTAAACATTCAAGATGACAAAATTGTTCGCCTATTATTGATGCATTATAACATATTTAATAAATAATAAAGCTAAGTTCTGCAACCTTTAAATATTTTACCCATTCCATTATTTTTAATTTTTTACACGCTTTAAATATTAACCAGAAGCTAAATTTTTTTTGTTGCCCTATTTTTTCTTGTTAATCTCTGTAATCGAGTACTTAAAGATTTAAGTTAGGAACTTATGATTGTTTTCGTAAACAAAGTTATTGAAAAAGATAAACTGTACTGAAGCTCTGGAATTTACTTCTAATCAAAGATATTAAATGAAAATTAATACAAATTCTAGTTGTTAGTTCAAGTTTTGTCAAATTTTGATTTTTTTAAAAACAAATATGCGTTTTTTAAGTAACAATGTCAATATATGCAGCAAAAAGAACATAGCATCGACAATTACAATGCACTGAAAATAGCTAATGTTATTTTTAAAATGAATGGTTTTTAAATTTAAATTTTTATTTATTTAAAAAAATTGAAACAAACAATTGTATTTTATTTGACAGAAATTGTTTTTTTAATTATAGAAGTTCTAGTCTTGAAAAAAATAATATATTATGTTTTATCTATGGAACAATATAAATAACTGGATTAAACGGTTATTATTTTTAAGTAAAGATGCAATTTTTAAATAACATTTTAAATTCAATTTTCTTACAAAAAAATTAAAAAAGTGAAAGTTATATATTACAACTAATTTCAGCACTTAAATATACAGAAAAAAATATTGAGTTGACAATTATTACCAATGTAAACAATTATTGTTATTTTTATAATGAATGGCTTTGAAATGGACACTCCTATTTATTCAAAAACATTAGCACTGAAGCAGACATGTTGTTTTATTTAACAGAAATTCCTTTTTAATTATAAAAGTTCTTGATTCGGTAAAAATACTTTATTTTGCTTTATATACAGAACAATACATATAATAACAATAAAGTCATATTCTTGTAATTGTTACTTAATAACTTAAAGATAAAATATACTTACTAGTTGTATCACTATAGCTGATTACTGCTACACGTGTTGCATTGACATCCACAACAATATGAGTCAAAAAAGATTCCACGAACCCTTTTTCTTCTTCAAAATGAGCTGCACCAACACTTCCAGATCTATCCAATAGAAAAACTATCTCAGCCTTACCTTGCAAAGCTTCATTAGTTGATAAATATTTCACAATCGCATCTTCCATTAACCGGTTCGTCGATGCACTTAAACTAAACGTAACACAAAACACAGCAGCATACAGAAGCATAATTCTTGGATTAAAGGCTCATTTTCCAGTTTTATGTTCAGAAATAAATTCTTTTGACTTTAGCTAATTCTATTTTTAGATTCAATTTTCAATCTCAATTTAGAATTTCAGTTTTTAATTTTCGAACTATATTTTTCGATTTCAATTCTACAATTTCTATTTTAAAAAATAGATTTAAAAAAGATCAGGTTCAAATTTCAACTGCGATTTGATTTTACACCATTTCAGTTGTAATTTTCATAAATAAACATCCACTTTTAAGGAGGTTGTCTCTTGAAAAGTGCTTTGTAAAGGCTTTCGTCCAGTTTCCCGCTTACATGGTTTTTCTAAAGTGAAACTAAGTTATCGAATTTCATCAAGTTTCCATGTCGTGGAAACGGAAGAACAGATCTTATCGGATGTCTTGTTTACGCTTTTCCTTCTGTATTTATGGAAGCGTTCGATAATATGAAAAATTCTGAATAGAATGTTTATTTTCAGTCTCCATCAACGAGATCTTGTTGCACTTACACGCTGAAAAGGTGTCTGTTTATGCGCGTTTACATACAGATTAAAAACAAAACGCATGTGGTGAAAAATGCAAAAATAATCAGATTGGAACAACGAAAATGATTCAAGGCAAGAATATTGTGATAGGTAAAAAAGAAAAAGATATTTATTTTTGTTTAAAAAGTAAAGAATGAATCAGTTGTAGTGCTAAATAAGTTGATAAGCTACGAAGTGTATAGATTAATTTGATACTATTATTTACTTTTTAAAAGCTTACTTTATACTTGTTGGTTCTTACTTAAATCTTATTTTGAGTAAATGGCCAATAAAAATATCTTTGCTAAATTATTCATGTTGATCTAAAAATGTCTCTTCACTTCCTGTGCAGCTTAATTCCATGTATTATTATTTAGACATTTAAGCACCATTGTTCGGGATTATTTAATTCATTATTTCAAAACTTGGGAATATAGTTACTCTCTTGTTTACATATATGATAACTTTCTACATGCAAGCAAGATTGAAAGATTTCAATTACTAATTTTATTTTTTCGATAGAAAATTTTACTACTTTTATATTTTATAGCCGCCGTTGAACAGCCGGCCCAATTTTCGGATTTACAACTACTAATGTTCAACTCCATAGCTTTGTAATTTTGAACCCAATCGAGAAGACATTTTTAGCTCCTGCCTTTTTTAGCTTTTACCTTCTCCATATTGAGAGAAATTCGTTTCGTGGAGCACTTTTTGTATGGAACTAACCCGTATTTGCGTTACATGGAGAAAAAGACGAACGAGAACATCCCACGGTTAGCCTGACGTCAAAGGGACTCTAACCCATGATCCGTCTATCACTGAGGATATTTCATGTCAGCACTGTGGTCGGTGCAAGCCGGATGTGGATTCGTATCGACCAGCCATTGTTGGATTTGAGCCCGGTTACCTCATTGAAAAACGAGCGCTCTATCCCTTGAGCCATCGTGGCTCTACTACTTTTATATTGTTATGTAAAAAAGTTAGGTACCTGGTAAAAGATACGGTTAGGTACCTGGAACCAGCTGGGTATTAAATCCAAGTTTTACCGGGTTTCCGATAATGGCCAAATTCTGAGAAATTGAGTTTCAAAAAAGTAAGATACTTAAAATTCGATTTCTCAGGTACTATTCAACCGAGTCCTAGTAAGTGAAAATCCTATCATTAGATCAAGAGTTATTCAGGTTGGTCTGTTTTTTTACTCACGAAAACTGTACAGTTACAAATCAGCTATTTTAAATATTGGAAGATGTTAATTTATATCTTACACGAAAAAAAAGCTGTTAATTGACGAGAAACAAAGAGTTAACAAGTATTTACAAAATAAAATCGAGGTTTATCAAAGGTTATTTTTGTGCCACATAAACCTATATTAGTACTGTTAAAATTACCAAATTTCGGTTTAAGGTTGCCAAATTCTACCATATTTACTAACTAACAGTAATAAAAACCATATTTTATTGTTAAATTTACCCAAAGTCAGTCGCTTTGATAAAAATTACTGTGTTTTTGGTATTTTTATAGAGCCAGAAATAGGGTAAGTTGTATCATATTTTGATAATTTTCACCATACTTTTTTTTCTGAGGGTAAAAATATAATATTTACTTAAACTTAAAAGTATCCTAATATACTTAGATTGGGGAAAGAAATAACTTTACGTATTATTATTACTTCGTGGAATTTTTTTAAATTTTTTTTTATATATATAAATGTTCTATAAAATTGTAACTTAAGCAGTAACTCTGTTAATTATATAAATTGTCGGCATTGTTACCCTGGTTATTACTGAAACAAAATAATATTAATTGTGGGATTTTTATTTTTGAAATAAGTTAAGTTTATTTACTTTTAATGTATTATTTGTTGTCCATTAATTAAGAAAAAACGCTAGATCTGCTATTAATTAATCTGTTGCTTAGTGTAAAATCATTGTTTAAATGCTTTGCGTCTAAATATGCTTGCTATCGTATTTATTAAATTAACTTTTAACTTAAATATAAATGCAAAAAAAAAAAAATCATTTTCACTAATTTTATTTAAATTATATAAAATGTTTTTTCATACAGTATAATACATCACTGTGAGATTAGAGTATGGTCAAAACTATCAAAATATGATAAAATTTACCTTGTTTTTGACGCTATGGGTACACCAATAAGCTCGATGCTTTTTTCGAAGCTTTTGCTAATGATTTTGGTAAAATTAACAATAAAATAAGGTTTTATAATCTATGATAAAATTTAGTAAAATGTGATAAAATTTGGTTGCTTCATCATGATGCCCTAGAGTATGGCAAAAAAGCAATTTATTTTATCAATTCAACTAAAATTCAATTTAATTTATTCGGTTCAATTTACTTTTCAGTTTGGTATATTTTACCAAAAGTGTGGTAATAAGAACTATAATTTTGAAAACCAGATTTTACAGATAACCGTTACCGTCTGAACTGAAAAATTACCAAATGAATGGTTTAAACAACATATATTTGGGTTTTATTAAGCAGAATTAGGTTTTTTCTTTACCAGAAAATTTATTACCATACTCTACGGTAATTTTACCAGAGTTCTTTCTCCGTGCATAATAAAACCAATATTACCAGAGAAGATAAAATATATTAAAACAATTTCTCTACATAGCATAGCAATTTTTGTGGCCTAGAAAAAATTTAATTATGTTTTAAGGTAGCAAATAATTTAACACTGTTTATATATTTAGAAAATATAAAATTTCTTTTATGAAAGTAAAGATTAAATAATAAAGAAGATTTAAAAAAAATATCTAAACTACTAAAAAACCAACTTTTTCAGTTTAGTAAAAATTTTAAAACATTTTAAGGTATTAGTTATTTAACAAAGTTCTTATTAAAAAATGAATTAAACAGAAAAAAAAGGGTTGAATATGTTTAGAAAAACAAAAACAAGCGTAAATCCCTGAGGGAGAAAAAAAAGTGTCAGTTGTTGAAAAGAAACGTCTGGATACCATCAACGCTCACGTCTCCAGCGTAGATTAAACACTGAGAATCTATGATGGAATGAGCCAATGCGGAGATTAAGAAATGTCTCTAACGTTCGTAAATCCTGAACTACAGCATAAAAAATATTCATTAATGTTTTGAATAATAAAAACAAAATATTCTGGAAACGCCGTATCAGATATTGTCGGGAATGAAGGACATTTTTTGGAGATGTCATCAATATGAAATCTTAAAATAAAATATGGTAACATAATGTGGGCCGTAATTTAGTATAAATACCCTCTCTGAAAACATGATAATTATGAACCTGTTTCAGTTCACAAAGAAACTGTTTAGTTATTTTAAAAATGGCTCTTTTCTATTTGATTTCGTTATACGGAGCTTTTCAAATTGGTAAGTTTACTTCAAATACTATATAAATAACTTATTATCAAAATATATGTTTTTTTTACCTATACTGAATAAAAAGAAATTTTTTTATTTTAACTTAAAACAACTTTTTCAGAGTTTTTTTTAACTGCTATTAAAGCATATTAGGAAAAAAAATTCCGTATTTAAGATTTACAGATGCAAGGATCAATAAAATTTATAAAAAAAAAAATTGCTAATTATCTCTGTTTTACCAATACCTTTTTTCTTACAATTGACGTCGATTTTAAATCTCAATTAGTTTTATCTTCAAAGCATACATAAAAATGAAAAAATTAAACTACGCTGTAGAAAACCTCGGTAAATCTTTAGCCAGTATTTGGAGCAAAGTTTAGTTAAAAAGATGATTTTATGCTAGTTATACCGTAAATTATGAAGTATGATCGAAAAACACTTCTATGGTGCAACTAACTGCTCCAAATTTTGTAAAAGGCACAAAACTTTGACCATGACTGTAAACTGAACGATATTTGCTTACCACACCATCTTTTCCTTACAACTCGGTCTCGGTGTATCGGGACGACTAATGCATATTGTTCCAAGTGTCAATTTATTTAAATAGGTCAATGTTTTATTTGCATTAATTAAAGTTCATTTCTTTTATAATGCCTTTTTGCATTTGTTTGGAGGTATAAATGGTTAGAGGTATAATATGCTCACGGTAAAGAGTTTTGTTACTGTAAATAGCAACCTTGGCCAGCATTTGAGTGCTTTAAAAATACCTATTAATGGCGCAACCTTCTTCGGCTTTTAAATATTAAAAAAAATGAAAACAGGTATTTTGTTTTTTCAAAACGTCTACTTTTTCTGCAACCTTTTACTCATATTTTGAACTAGCGAAATACCAATATGTGGTAAAATAGAACTCCAATTTATGTTGCCAGTAAATAAATACCGTGACTCGGAAGTTTTAATAGTGTAAAACTACAAGTTCTGCACGCAGCTGTTTATGCATAAATTTTTGTTGTAAAGATTTTAAGTGTTTAAAAAATGTATAAAAATTAGAATAATAAGTTATTATAAAATTTATACATTACGAACTACATCATAATGAATGGTTTTCAATAAAATATGAAGTGTTGCTTAAGTTTTTACTACCAACAATGTATATAATTGTTTTTATAATTATGATGCTTTTAAAATATTTGGCGTTTTCATAAAATTATTGTTCAGATAATTATTTGATAGAATGTTAATAACAAAAATTATTCATGGTTTTGTATTTTAAATTATACACGAAAGAAAGTAATTCAGATGTGAAAAATCGTCTAAATTTTAAAAAAAATAATACTTAAAGTTAGATCAAAATTTTTGTAATTAAAAAAAAAGCACAAAATTTAAAAAAAAATATCGCTAACTTAGAAAAATTTTAGCTTGTGTTTAAAATTTTTTTAATGCTTCTAAATGAAATTTAATTTAAGTCAGTGTAATCAGTGCAATTAATCAGTGCAATTAAGTTTAGATAATCAGGTGCAATTTTTAATCAGTGTAGATTTAAATTTACTTAATTCTACGCTGTATGCTACTATTTCTTGTTAACTAAATTTTAATAAATATTTTGATTTTTGAATTTTATTTTCAAGCTTAGGTGTATTTATTTGCTATGATATAAATTATAAATTATTTATATTCTGAACTCAGCTTCATCAAAAATGATTCTACTGTAAAGAAAACTTCTTTAACAACTTTACATTATCTTGTAGCTTGTATCTCGTAGATTATCGCAGTAGCTTTGTTCGCATACTTGCTTTTTTAATCAAATTCTGTTTACAATTAAAGCTAGTCAAATATTTTTTGCCAAAGAAATTTTTTTAGAAATTATACGAAATGTTAATGCTGAATAATTCTCAGTTTGTATTTATTACTTTAATTATATATATTGAATAAACACAGCTTAATCTAAATTTTCTTATAAAAACAAAAATAATTTAGTAAAATATAAATAAAGCTTATTTACTGTTTAATGATAGTAATGCGACAAGTAAAAAAAAGTTATAAAATGTTGCTTAATAAGGTTTAACTGCGATAACTTTAATAGAGATAACACTTCAGTTTTAAGTTTTTAATTTTGAATAACAGTCGTAATCTGAAGAGTAATAATAGTAGAGAATAATATTAAGAAGGGATGATTAATAAATATCAGTAGTTAATAAAGAATAAATAAATAGTTAACTTGTGAATACTGTTAAAAACTTCATTAATTTTATGCTGATAACAGCCAAAAATATTATTCAGAAATGATATTATTATGAGATTTTTATATCCAATAAAATTGACGATAATCATAAATTTCAATGATGCTTCGAGATTTATCGTATATCCAATATTTTTTGTGTTACGAAATTAATGACTAACAAACTATATTTTAAATTTTAATTGAAAAACGTGCGTGCAAAAAGTGAACGTTCAAAATAATACAAACTGATTTCTTTTGCATTTTGTATGTAATAATTCTAATCGCACCGATGTGGTTGTTTGAGTTGCTGTATGGTCATAAGTTTACTAATAACAATTCATTTGGATTAATAATGAAACTAAAAACATATGTAATTTTTCAATCATATAGAACAAAAGTTTTTAAATATTTTCTTATTAAGTTATTTGCTTAGAATCTTAGAATTATTGTTAATGCTGTTCAAACTTTTATGGTGCAACGTAAAAAATTTATTATACTTATTGAAGATAATAAATTCTATTAAAATTTATTTTTTAATTGCTCTTTAATTGTAATTAAAGAATGCATCTTTGGTCGCTAATTAATAATTAAATGACAGGTAAACTTTATCGAAAACTTACGAAAAAATAATTATTATTGATGCTAATAAAATAAAAAGTATTAAGCATGAAGATTATTACCATATATGTAATGAAATTTAAAGGCTGTGAAATAGAAATGAAGATATTAAAAAAACTTTTGGTTACAACTCTGTGAAAAATTTTGGTGCATTAGTTGCTACCATTATTGGTGTATAGATAAACTAAACCGCTTTACAGTGCATGTTCTCATATTTTTAATTTACTTTTTAACTTATGTAGTTTTATTCAGTTAATTGTTAATTTTTTGTTTATTTATTTACTGACAACACACATTTTCATGAACATTAGAAACAATATATGTCTTCACTGTAAAAACATTTCATAAAAAAATCCAATCACATTTTAATTATAATATATGCACTAATTCTTCCAAACAATTATTATTTTGATAGTTTTCTTGTAACTATTAAAATTTTCTCCGATTCACCCAAAACTTTTAATAATTTTACCAATATTATTTTCAATTAATAAATGCACGGCTTATCAATTAATTTTAGATTAGAATTTAAATTTACATTAACATTACATTTCATATTATGATATATTAGGAAAAAAAATAAACTTTTAAAAATATATAAATTGTTTAAAAACATTCTGCAAAAATAGCTATTTATTAATATTTCCTCCTACACTCGTAATTTATTAAATATTTCATAAAAATAGTAATATTATTGAGAATTCTTAATTCAATTTGAAAAAATTTGCAGGGAACATAGAAACTATTACTGGAAGTTAGAAATTGCCAAGAAACGATTTCATAAATTTTATTCATACAACTTTTTAATTAATTTTTCAAATGAGTTAACAAATTTGTTTTTTTTTTGGAATCTATGTACTTTTTAAATAGATTAATCGAACATAGACTCTAAAACGTTATACAGTAATAAATTAAATTTGTGATGATTTATAATTTAATTAATTATCATAATGTTCATTTAAACAATATTTTTGTTCACATATTAATTTTAAATATAAGGTTAAATAATTTTCATAAAACCAAAATCTTCATTTCATCTTTTAATCTGTGGCACTACACTTTAAGCATTTCGGAGTAAAAAAATTTATCTACTCCAAATTTGACTCCTATAAAATTTTTCAGACTCTAACCCCACAGCCATGGTTTTACTGGCAAAGAAAATTTGTTTTGAAAATTTTTCCCTTGTCTTCACCGTGATTGATATCTATAATAATTCACCAGACTTAGATCATGTTTTAATATTTTTCTCTCAATGATTTGCAACACTCAATGTTCATTTATTTTTTACTTTGATTTTGGTAAGATTTCTGGAAATGCACACTAACGATGATGATTAAGGATCACCCAATAATTGTAAAAATCATCGAATGTCAAGATATGTTTTGTAAGAAATGTTTTATTTTTTTATATATTTGTCTAGCTTTTGGAGGTGAGCCCATAGTCAACTGCCCAGCACCCCGGTCACCTGATCATGGTCAAACTTTTCTGTATCAAGATGGAAGGGTGGTGAAGTATGTTTGTGAACCCGGCTATGTACTTTATGGTAAAGAATTCGTACGCTGCGTTGATGGTAAATGGGAAGATGAGATCACCACGTGCTTGAAAATAGACGGTGAGTACACTGGTCAAAATATTGTAAAACATTTTAAATTAATCATTCAAGAAGTTCTAGCAAATTTTTGATCACTGTACATATTTAGAACTATTCACTTGAAACAAACCGAATTGATAACTGTATTTCCAAAACTTTCAGAAATAAACATTAATTGACTATTTATAGTTATTTTTTCAAAATGTTGAGGCTTATAATTAGTGATACTAGATTGCAAATGTGTGGCTTTAATTTTACTAAATTTTTAGCATTTGCTTTGCAGTTCCTAATTGCAATAGATATATAATTAGAGTCGCGGTGGCACAGAGAGATATAGCATCCTAATCTGGTTGAAGTTTGAATCCCAGCGGTGACTAGTTATAATGATTTCTGCTCCCAGATCGCACCGACCGCAGTGTTGACGTAAAATATCCTCATTAGCTGACGGATTATAGGTTGCCCTCGGGCTAACCGTGGGTGCAAATGTAACATGCAACGCAAATGTTTGTTACTTCCATCCTAAAGTTCTCCACGAAGATCTAAAGTGCTTTGTCTCTAAAGTGCTTTGTCATTGAGTAGTTTTCATATGTTATGGGTTGGGTTCAAAATTGCAAGGCTATTGAGTTGAACCTTATTGACATTAGAAATCCAGAATTATGTCGGATGTTTAACGCCGATTTTAAAATAAAATATATAATTAGAAATGTTCATTTGCTATCTTAATTTGATAATTAATATAAATAATAAGCAGTTTCTTGGAATTACGTGTACTTTTATGTACAAAAAGTTTCATAGAAATTTAAAGTATTGAATAATGTCTTTTAACACACGTGATATCCCATTGCACATTTTTGAAAACTGAATCGTAACAAATGAAATATTATGAACAAGTTTTTCAAACAATTTTGAAATGTTTTTAATCCAGCCATGCGTGCTCATAAACTTGTATGAGAAGAATTTTATTAAATCATTATTTTAATTATTTTTTTATTAGTTTCAAACATAACCGATTTTGGGCATATTATTTGAAATATATGACGGTATATATAAGGAGAAACAAATGACGCATGACTAAAATCTTTAAAACTTGTTAGAGAAAAATGAAAAATAATTCTTTTTTAGAAAATGGTGACCTGGAAGAACCATCAGACGAAATGCTTCAAATGACTCCTCCCCTTCCACCTCCCAGACCATTGTTCAGCTGGGGTAATGAAGAAGAAATCGATGAAAAAGAACAAAATTCGACGTCTGATGACGAAATGCCCATGAGTGACGAAGCTCGTCTAAGAATGGTAATGTATCCTAGACGTCGTGCTCGAATTGTCACAACGCGTGTACGTCCCGCAAGAATTAACAGTGCATCGGAATTGGAAGATGAAGAGAAGAAAAGATCTAATTCAAAGAAGGAAAGTATGAACACATATTTTGAAAATTCTAATGAAAATTCATAAAATGTCCTTCTAAGTTTTCAGTTTTTGCATTGAAACAAATATAGCCAAAACTTGCCGGAAGCTTTATAAGATTCCAAATTGAATCACATTATCTAGCAAATAATTCCAACTTAAACTTTATTTTACGGTATTATGGTTCATTAACACTTCATTAATTTTGTCGTAAATTTACATGGAAATAGGATTCAAAGTACTGGTATTATGGTTCAAGAAACAGATATTAGGGTTTAACGTTGAACCCCTTTTTCTGAGAGCTTACACTCACCGAAAATCCACCATACTCGATGAATTGAATGAACAATATCCTGTAAATTTGGTTTTACAAACTGTTATTTCTTTATTATGTTACTGTTCAATTCAAGTTCTACTATTATGAGATAAGGCGTTAGGAAGGTTATTTTCCAGGCATCCTTCATCTAGAAACTATATTAAGTTTTCATTAAATTTGCAAGATATTGTGGTTCAACACATAACTTTAACAGTCTAGTAATAAATAATGAATTATTCTACAACTAATTCAAATTTTAAATATCTCAAAGATACTCAAAGATCTACTGTAATGAATGATATACAGAAGTGAAGGGTTAAAACCAAAATACATTTTAATGCACTTAATTAATTCCTTAACTGTCACCTAAGTAAAATTGAGCAAAAAGAGTAGTCAAAATTGTCAGGATATGGTAAAATTTACCGTAATTCTGGCTTTACGAGAACACCAAAAAGCTTCATAATTTTTGCAGAAGTGTTCTGGTACGAATTGGTACAATTCACAATGATATTACTTTATAATGTGTGATGAAATTCAGTAAATGTGCTAAAATTTCGTAATTTTATCATGATACCATAGAGAATGGCATAAAAACAATTCAGTCGGTTAAATTTACGTAGTAATAAAAACCGAGGCCATAATTTTAAAAACCAGAACTTCCGATAAACCGTTATCGTACAAGTGAAAAATTTACCAAGTGAATGGTTAAAAAAAACACGAATATTTTGATTTTATTAAAAAAAATTTTTTTTTTTTTACTTGAAATGTTATTACCATAGCGTATGGTAGTTTTACCAAAATTGTTTTCTCTTAGTACTAATGTAATGTTAATAACGGCTACTGTTAATGTCAACGCTGTTATTTGCATGCTTTTGTCAATGCTAATACCAACATTGTCAATGCTATTACCTATGTTAAGAATACTGCTGTTACTGAATGATGTTTGGCGATAATAAGCTCTTAAATTCCTAAGAAAGCTTATTAATATAGACGTAAAAGACAGGCATTTGTTTGATCATAAAGAATTATCATCCGTGTTTTAATTTTATAAACAAGTATTATGCGATGTAAAATTTATCTACTTACACTTATTTATTACATTCATTTCCTAACATTTGTGTTACTTTAAAAAAAGAAAATTTCGTAGTAAAGTAACAGCAAGAAATGTAGAAATGTTTCGAAACTTTTTTTCGGATTTATTATTTATATATTTTATATTTAGGATTTTTATCTTTTTAATTACAAACTTATGAAAACAAAAGTAATTTATTAAGTAGTTGAACATAAAAAATTATCTAAATGTATATTTTAAGCAATCGCATTGCTCTAGATAGTTAAATCATAACTAAATTTTGTGCCCTATTTAAGAGTTCAAATTTAAAGAACCAAAATCAAAATTATATCAGTGGTTTTATTGCTCTTTATTATTTTTATAATGAGTTTCACATTGCAGCAATGAATTTAAACAAGAATTAACAGGTAAGATTTTTTTGTGTGTGAAAAATAAAAGTAGATAAAAAAGTTGGAGAATGCAAGTTTGGAACATAATTTAAATTGTAGCCTTATTTTTATTATCGTTATAATCACTTACGCATTAATACATTATGTGGAGAGTGAGTAATTCTCAATGTCAACTTTTATCTATTAAAAGGTACCCCACCATAGAATCGAGTTAACATGTCTTATATGCTAGTGAATTGGAATTGTATTTTTGTAGTGGTAGATACACTACAGTACTCCCCCACCAGAATTTTATCTGTGATAAATTCGATAAACGGATACCACTAGCTGATTCATTGTTGTTTTTTGAGAAGCCGGGAGAGCTGTATTAAGATCACCGTACTTTTTGAGTGCTGATCGTAAGAGCTGTATTAAGTTCACGGTCATGGTTGCCTTTAGCAGTCGAGTGTATACGTTTTACGTTGTGTGTGATAGAGACTGAGAAGCAACAGGGTGAGGAGGACAATGTCGCAGCTACAAGTAACAAGTCAACTGTTCAATGTAGACCATCCATCGAAGTACGCGCGTTCAAATCGTAGTGGGCGTTTCTGCCAAGGTAGGCGTGTTCACATCACGTCCGGATTAGCAATGTGGGGAGTGAGTAGTTATCGACAATGTCAACCTTCATCTATGAAAAGGTACATCACCATAGAATCGAGTTAATATGTCTTATATACTAGTGAATTGGAACTGTATTTTTGTAGTGGTTGATACACTACACATTATTTATTTTCATTTGCTATTATAGCTTCGGCAACAACAATACATCTAGAAGGACCACCTTCATCAATCTTTGTCAGGAGAACTCTAATTCCAGGAAAAGTGGCCAGCCAAGAGCAATCTCTCAACCAACAATACAGAACAGCTACAGTACGCATGACAGTTGAAGAAAAAGAAGATCCTGAACATGTACAAGTTGTTGCCTTGCCAAGAGCTGCTGTTGCTCAGGTAAACGAGATCGCGTAATTGTCACAATCACCGAATCAATTCAATTATAAAATGTAATTACAGTTATTGAGTTATTTAACATCTGAAATGTTATTACAGTAATTGAATTGATTAAATTTTGAAATGATATTACAATCAGTGAATTAATCAAATTCTGAAATGCTATTTCAGTTACCGAATTAATTAAATTTCGAAATGATAATCAAAATCACTAAAATTACTAAATTCTGAAATTTTATTACAGTTATTTAATTAAATAAATTCTGAAATACTATTCCAGTAATTTAATTAATTAAATTCTGAAATATTATTACAGCTACTGAACTAGTTGAATTTTGAAATGGTATAACAATCACTGAATTAATTGAATTAAGTAATGTTAAAACAGCTACTGAATTAATTTAAATTCTCAAATGTGCTAATTAGAAACATATTTATCATAATTATTAATTGCAATTGTTTTCGCCTATAGCATCATACAATCCGGTTAATGTCTTTCATCTGTCTAAACGGATAAACACTGCGCAATTTCAAACCAGTTAGTTATTACTTCACGTTTTGCTATTTAAGTTTAGTGTGAAATTAACCGAGCAGAGAGGAGTGCAATTTTTTTTTAACCGTCCCTCCTTCTCAGTAGTCAAGAACTATTTAAATTATCAATAAAAAGTCTAATTAACTTATCACTAAAAAGTCTAATTAACTTATCACTAAAAAGTCTAATTAACTAATTAACAGCAGTTTTAACATAAAATTGTTAGAACACATTTATTTGTAGTAAATATTTTTGCTCATTTGAAATGAATCCTTAAGAATAAGTGTATGAAGTCATATTTTATTTTTTTAAGAAATTATTCAGTTAATTTTTAACGCAAATAATCTTTTTTCTTGCAAATTCTCCTGTTTATATCGTAACCTTCTTAAGCAAGTCAGATAAAAAAACTCTTTTTATTTTTAAACTTTTGCATTGTTGCTTAGTTTTAGAATTTTTCAAAAAGAGAATTAAAAATACCGAGGGAATTTCAATTTTTTTAATGTTGTTTAAGACTTCATTGAAGTAATATAGTCCCATCACTAATCAAAACAATGCGAGATTAGTGACAAAACTCATGGTACTTAAACTGAAATTCTGCTCAGTTTGAAATAATTTTAAATATTAATCAAAATTCACGCCATTATTTACAATGCAAACAGGAGTAAAATAGTAATAGACTCAAATTCTTCTTATAAAAAAATTCATGGCAAAAAAAATCCACATAATTTTTTTGTACCTCGAGGCAAAGCGTATTGAATGAAAAACTTTAGTTAGAATGCCGACGTTTTAAACGTTTAATATCAAATTAATGCCATATCTACTGAATAGTCCGACAAACAGCTTATCTTTTAACGAGTTTCTTTTCTAGAATGATAAGGGAGAAGACAGATCTACAAAATTTTTTGTAACTCGAAGAATTATGCAATTATGCAAAGCGTATTGAATGAAAAAGTTTAGTTAGAATGACGGCATTTTAAACGTTTAATATCAAATTAATGCCATATGTACTGAATAGTCCGGCAAACAGCTTATCTTTTAATGACTTTCTTTTCTAGAATGATAAGGGAGAAGACCAGTTGAGGCAAATGTACTGGTGGGCTGCTCAAAACTACCACCAAAACTATCAAAACTATCCCAGACAAGCCTCCCTGGTGGAATACAGAAGTGGAAGTCCTGTAGCAATGACACTCAGTGAATCTCAAATAGCTTGGATCAACAGCTTGCACCCAGATTTAAGGGATCAGTACTTGAGGGATTTGTATGTTGTGAGGGCTGAAGAGGCAGTTGAGGGAGCAAGAGCACAAGCATTTTTGAGAAGATACGAAGATGCTTATCTGTACCCATACTTGATCAGGCAACCTGTTTCTGGTGAGTAATGTGTCCCACAACAAGTAATATTCCATAATTTAAAACTTATTCGGTTTTCTTCATAGATAGTAGCTATTATAACGAGAACGAAACATGAAAAAACAAGTAATGAGTTCCATTATAATTTCTGGAGAAGTAAATAATGTTTTAAAAGATAGAAATAGTTAGTGAGCATAAATCCAGCAGAAAACATATAAAGATTAATTACAAAAGAGAATGATGTGAATTGTTATGAGCTTCGCTTTCAAACTAATAAGTCAAATTGTAAAACTGTCCAATTTACTTGTTGATAACTAAGTAAATAAAGTATTAAACTGTCAATTTATTTTATATTCCTATTAACTAAATATTAAGCTTAAGACCAAATTTATCAAAACGGTTGTTGTCCTATATTTAAATTAAATTTTTAATAGTGAGATTGCAGTCTAGACGTAAAAGAGAAATAACTTCGTATCGACTGTTTAAAAATAATTACCTATATTATGTTGTGTTTAAAGATATATTTGATTGCTTCGATCTATTTTTAATGTTAACTTTAAGGAATAAAAAAAATTAATAGTTGGGAGGGGTTTATTTATTAAGGAGATCATTTTTATTAAAAGAAAATTGTAGTTGGAACGTAGAGCTGATAATTACTAAATTTAAGGTAACCCAGGTGATTATCTATATTCCTCAACTAATCTAAGATACTTGAAAATAAATCCTTTTAAAATAAATCCTTTTAAAATAAAGACCTTCCAATAATATTTTTAAGAAATCAGCATTATCTTCATACTATTTGAAATACGAACATACCGGAAATAAACTTATTTTTAGCCACCAAAGCTAACTAATGAAAACAGCGCAGTTTATAGTTCACCCTATTCTCCAAAAATCGTTATTTCTATAGAAATAAAAATAATGATGAGAAACTACCCTGTTAAGCATTCCGGATCAAATTACGATATAAAAGTACCAACAGTTTGGTTGCATTATCCATAATATCTATTTTGCCATATTTACTTAATTAGAGTGATTCAGAGTGATTATTATTGTAAAATTACGGTATGTCAGATTTTTCGTTCCATAACATGTTCTGATAAAAATTACCGGTAAAATGTGTCGGCACCCTGAGTGCCTGCGCTTTTTTTATAATTTTATCCGCAATATTTTACAGTGCAAATAACAATGAAGATTATATAGCAATAAAATTATGCTAATGAATTAATTATTATTTTGCTTAATGCTGAATTTGTATAAACTTTTTTATTATTGACTTTGTGCAAAGTTAAAAAGTTCTTCTCCTCAACTTATATATACGATATTAAAATTGATATACAAATTACTTTTCAGTCGTACGAGATCCAGTTTCAGTTTATGATTATTCCTGCAATCAAGCTGGATCCCAATTTGTAACAGCTCCCAAACTTCCCAATGCTCACATAGCTCGTTATGACAGAAGACAAAATCCTAATACACCACGAAATCACTATTTGAGTGCCGTATATAGATGCAACCCTGGCTTCGTCATGATCGATCCTAGGTTCACTGAGCTACACTGTAGCAGAAGAAGTTGGGTCGGCACTGAGCCCATATGTATTCCAAGATCCTGAATTACAGTACAAGAATTTTTCTAGAAATTGGAGATGAAAGGAAGCTACCCTTTTTCAACGCACAATCTCTGCTTACGGTTTGATATATATTATTAAGCACTATAATATATATTATGTTTTGTAAATGCTTTTGTGAGATATACTAGTGGTGTATTTTTTAAATAATGACTCTAAATAAATGTACATAATATTTTACTTAAAATGTTGCTTTCGAAACAGAAATTTTTTTTATGTAAATAAATTACAAATAATTACAAAATTTGGTTAGGATTTTCAATAATGTTAACTTTTTTCTGCTTAAAAGTTCTTCTTAACGTAAAAATTTTATTTGTGGTGATAAAAATTAACGCAAAATGGTTAATGGAATGCAATGAATATTATTAAATTATTATAATATGAGTAACTCAGCTAACTATAATATGACTTTACGAATGACTCTTTATTTTGATAGTTTCTTTTATTAAGAAAATAATGTTAATACTTATATTTTATTTTGTAAATATAGATGTATAAAAAGTTTGTCTATATAATAACTCAAAAGAATAACAATTTAAATAGATTTATTTGAAAACGATTATCTTTTTTGTCAAACATATGGTTTAATTTTTGTAAAAGATTGTTTATGAATGTATATAGAGCTTTGTATTTTTTGCGTATTAAAAATAAGATATGTTTTCTGTGTAAATATTGCAATCAATAAATGAATAAGCATTAAAATTGTTTGACTCACTTTAATGTAAGTTTAATTTAAAATGCCTGGAATTAAGCAGTCACTCATGCAGATACCATGCACGATAAGAACAATATTCTGAAAATTTCTCAGGAAAAGAACTAGGAATGGAAATGCTATTTTAGGAGTCTATATTTTTTTATTGGAAATAATTAGAATACATAATTATTAAATGTGGATAAAGGACAGTTTAAAAAAATGTTTTTGAAAGAAAAATACTTTTTTCGGCATTTTTTAACTTAAAAAAATGCTTGGATTAAGAATTTTTATGAAATTTTTCATCCTAAGATTTGTACACGATAAAAATTCCGGATCCGATTATAATATAAAGTATCGGTGCTTTGGGTAAATCATTCGTAAAATTCATTTTTACCGTAATCATATTTTCTGTTTTTTGATCTGTTCCGATAAAAATCGATTTTACGGTTAGAAGTGCCGCTACCCTGAATGCCGGTACTCCTTACCCCAATTTAAACCAGGAATTTTTTATAGCGCACACTTGAAATTATTAGTTTCAGAATCGCCCAAATTTTCTAAACGTATGTCTAATATTTGTAGCAATAAAACTGTAATTCAAAACTGCGAAATAACAAACTAAACCAAATTTAAAATGAAGTTTTTATAATGTGTTGAATTACAATTTGGAAAGAAATTACAACACCTTTCAAAAGTTTCTTCACTAAATTTTTTAAAACTAATAATGCACACATTCTTGTTTGATTTTTATCCTTTACAGTTGATAATACACACTTTTGTTTAAATTTTTAGTTATCACCTGGTTAAAAAGAGAGTTATGTTTTTTTTCTGTTTAGTTTTCAATAAAATAGTTTTTTAATTAGTTAACTTAAGACATTTTTAGAATAATGGAATCTTTAATCTGATTTGTCATTTTATGTACAAAAAGATGAAGAACAGAATATGTTAAAACATATTTGTTTTCCTTTAACAAAAATTAGAAATTAAATATCTTATTCTGTTTTTTTTTCTCATTAAAAATTAAAGAAGAATACAACGGTTAAAAAAATTCCCAAAGAAATTGATGGGAAAAAATAACTTTTAAAATAGAGCTTGTTTCTAGCTTTTTAAATAGAAAACCGAATGGAAAATGTAAAATTTTGCTTTTAGAAACATGAAAAGTAAAATATCCGCCCCGCATTCTTTTTGTAATAAGAACCATGTAAAACAAAATATAAAATAGAAATACATTATTGCTTTTTATTGCATTTAAAACAAAATCCTTCACTCAATGCATTCTTTAAGACCTTTGTTTCCAAATTACAAAGTATTTGATTCAGTTTCCAACTTTGTATCTCTCTTATTTTTTGTCCTTAATTATTTTTCTGTAATTTCTTCATTCACAGTCACGCAAATTCCAAATTTACGAACTAGGTCGTATATTGGAAAGTTTAACGGCTCTAAGGATTCGCCAGTTGCATAGTGATAAGATGAAAGCTAAGTACTGCAATAATAACTAGGGCTAAGTTTAGCACTCTAAGATTTTATTGATCTACACATAAGCAAAGCTATTAAATTTTTTTCAAATAATCCTATGAAAATATGATACATAATTTCAGCTCCAAAAGTATACATAATTAACAGTTACGTCAATGCAGGATTAGAAAGAGGCTTAGTGAAAATGACATTCATAATTTCACTTTCAAAGCAGGTATCATTAACTTTTACACCAATGGAATACTCTTATTATAAATAATCATAGAATAATCATAGATTAGGATTTAAATACTCTAATCATAAATAATCATAGATGCAGAAACATATATTGTGAAGCTTTACTGTACTATTAGATTCGTAAGAGTTTTTTCTTGTTTTGTTTATTCTATGATAGGATTTGAAATACATTCGTAATTACAGTTGCAAAAGGAGATGAATTTTAATTTCTATCAGATAATATTAACTTTATTACAGATGACATTAAGTTTTTCAGATGACATTAACTTTTAATACTACCATAGATTTTTTAAATATTTCAAATATTCCAACAATGACACTATACGCAATTAATTCAGCAAATATAGACATTATTGAGTTGTAAATTACAGTAAAATATACAGGTTGCTGGATAATGAAGGTACCATACGTAATTTTAGTTGCAAAGTAAGATATGAACTTGCACACTACTGTTATATTTCAAATTAATGATAAAAACTTAGGTGATTAGTGCTATACACACTCAGAAATAAAATCTTAACTTTTTACGATTCAGCAACCATTGAGCTGTATTTCTTTGATTTATAGAATAACTTCTCCACGAAATCACCAGGTTTGTGATGAAAAATGAACTTTTGAATGTATGATGAAAATGTTTCCTCAACTCGGAGCCTCATAGTAGTGCATTGTGGGATATTGTCGAATAATCCAATACGTATTAGCATAAAATTGATAATATTGAAATTTATCCTACTCTTGGACTTGCAAGTTGCAGAATAATAATACCATAAGTAATTACGGCTGCAAAAGCAGATATCATTAAGTTTCTGTTTATCACTATAATTTTCCAAGCAGTTAGTTTGCAATCATTTTTCAGTCTTTTGTAAAATAAATATTTGTTTTCTTGCATTCCAAAATGCTTTATTTCCGTTGCCGTTGCAAAGAACTCCTCAATTTTATTATTGCACCTCTGTTGCGTAATATCTGCCATGATAATAATAATGATAACACACATCACAAGTTGAATGTTTTCAAATAACAGTTCTAAGCGTTCTGTGTTGTCTTTCGAACTCAATAGTGCAATAAATGTAAAAATCGTTGCTCCAGCTTTGGAAATTATACAAAATATCGGAAACGATATTATGCACTCTAGATCTTTCATTGCCTGAGCAACTATCAGCAAATGGCGAAAACACATAGGCACTTCATCTTTTAGAATTCTTTCGTTCTTTAAATTAATATTTAAAATGAAGAAGCAGCACAGGCAGAATAAAAATGTTGTAACAAAATAGATACCTTTGCTCAAGAAGCATGATACCAAGCTTAAACTTACGTAGGAGATTGCCAATTCCACTGGTGTTTTGAAAAGTTCTAAATGTTTACACAGGTATGGATGCGAAGTTATCCCTTCTGTATATAATATCTCGATCTTTGAAATAACTGCTCTTAAGGGGGCGAAAAGAATAAAAGAAATAAACAAAATCATAACGGTTTTGAATTTTCCTTCCTTCTGCCTATGGCTTAAATGAACGATAAGTTTGATAATTTGTCTGCGCTTTATAAAAATACTCCACCACACTGTAAGCGTTAGCAACTGAGATGAGTAGAGAGAAAGGAGCTTATCGTAAGATAGTTTATCATAAAGTGTGCATGAAATGACTTTAATGATTTCTGTAATTAAACATAAATGAAATAAAGTAACCAATGCCCACACTTTAAACCTCCCTTGGCATGCGATTCCCGAAAATGTCAAAAAAATATAAGTAAGGCTTAAAAGAAATCGTTTCATAATCACTTCAACTTTGCTTCAAGAAACGATTTAGAATATTTTGATATAATGACTTTTAAAAAGATAGAAGACAGCGGATAATAATTTTCTATCAATTTTATAATATCAGATTGCAAGGAATCCTGCGAAACGCTAAAATTTAATTTGTTTGAAAAAAAATCTTTTTTTGAGCACGATCAACATTCGATGAATTACCGACGTTTTAAAGAAGTATTTTAATTACCACTTTTAATTTGGTTTGAGATTATAACATTCAAATAGATACAATTCGGGAGAGATAAAAGAAAAATAAATAAATGTAAATGTTAAGGAAAGAGTAATATAAAAAATATTCTTCTTCTTATATATATTTTATAGTCATTTTAACTTTGATCCAGGAGAAGAATTAGATATTTCATAAAATGTTCATATGTAAGTTAAATACGTACCAGAAAATATTCCTTTATCATCAGCAAATACAGATAACTATAAAAATATAAATAAAGATTGTTTAATAGTTACTTCAACTAGAATCTTATTTTAATCTTATGGATGTGATTGAAATAGTTTCAAAAAATACAGTAGGTGACGCAGAACTTTTTGAAATTGTACAAATCGCAATCATACACTAATTATAAATTTCAGGAACAATTCTTCAACATGCCATTTTTCTCTGAGGCTGAACGATAGCTATAAGAAGCTTATTATTCGAAAAGTTGTGGTTTGCATTTGTTTAGTAATCTAATGATAGAAATGAGTTTCAAATTCGATTTTAAAACGGCAATTTTTTGCGACTTAAATTCTTTATAATGGAAAAACTCTACTGGAATCATAAAAAGCGTTTTTGCAGCGGTTTTGCAAAAGTTTTGTTTTTAAGAAGCATTGATAATTTAATTCATATAATCTTCATCGTCTAAATATTATAAATAAGTTTTAAAAGTAGGATATTCATGAAATGTTGCAGGTTTGTATGTAGATCCTTTGATGATGTTATATAAGTTAAAATATTTTTTTCAAATGTCAATTTTCAGATAATTCATATTAATTTCTTCACAATGACTTCACTATCTAAAAGAAGTGCGGGTTTTAAGTATAAAAAAAACTATCGAAGAATGAAAGAAAAAGCCAAAACAGTTCTCTTATTCCATTAAAAAAAACAAGTACTAAGGAAAATTTAAAACAAGTTAGCTAGCTGCTCTGTTGAAAATTAAATTACTTCTCTTAATTTAAAAATTGTTTATCCAAATAATTTTTAACTAAACAAAACTTTTACTTTTGTATAACATCTTTTAACGACAAGGTTTCAAAAAGTATTGTTTGGGGACTGAGTTTAATAGAAATCTGAATTATAAATACATTCTAAATATCGATTCGAAATGTCAGTACTTTCAAATAATAGCCAATTTAAAAAGAGTTAATTAAATGGAAAAATTTATTGCGTGACAAATAGTTATGTCGGAATATGATTTAATATGTTCTTCCAATATATATATTCATATAATTTGGAATAATAGTTAAAATATGAAAATAAAACATTATATTACAGTTAAC